TTCTATGTACTTATTTATTAAATGACGACCTTTATATACGGAGATGAATAACGACGCCTTGTACGGCCTGATGATGATTCCCTGTGAATTAAAACTATAGTTGCCACAAGCAACATTTTTGATTACTGAATGCAGGTATTTAAATTTAAACCATTATAAACATGGTCAGGGTTGGAAATCCCTTCATACTCAATAAGCAGGTTTTTTAGAGGGGTCTCAAACTGGGAATGACTGTGTTATTAGAGGTGTAGGTATAAGGGAAATCATTCCATAAGTAACAAAAGCAGCATAGATAAAACATACTTCCTTAGTAGATTTGTCATCCTTAACAGGCTGATCCAATACACATTATGTTGTAAACTGTACTAGGCCTACTCTGGGAATGACGGGGAGCGAGCTGGCGTAGTGGTTAGAGCGCGTGACTTCAGTCCCTGAGGTCCCGGGTTCGATCCCTGCCAAGTCACCAATGGATTTTATCTAAGTGATAATGTGCCGCAACCCCTAGGTCTAGCCTGAAGTTATAATGTGAAAAACAATCCGAGGCTCATGCCTAGCGTCCTAGGACAAAAAAAAAAAAAACTTTGGGAATGACAAGTCCACAAATAGATCGAGTACACCTGCGAGAGCATTCCTCAGTCTACATTGAGGGTATTTACTGCTTCAAAGAATAGTTGTTGAATGTATGCTTACAGCTTTGAATATGTGCAAATTAAAAACTGTTCCTCTTGTAGTTAGCTAATTTGATGACCATTATCAAACCATTTGAGCTCCAGGGTAATAATTTATTTAATTATACTTATGTTACTTTCTCCCCCTAGGCCTACATAGTATACAGTATGGAGAAAGTATTGTTTTCGTCAACATTTTCGAGTTTGAGTTTTGAGTGGATATATCCGTTTTGGGCCCCCCTCTGAACCCAAAATAGTGTTTTTCAGAGTGATGTCCGTGTGAGTTTATGTCGATGTTACAGAGCAACAGACCACACTTGTTGTCCAATTTGATGAAATTTGGTACGTAGGTACTAATCTATTATATCTTCAGGCGTGTTTTCATTTTTTCCAAATTTTTATTTTTAATGATGATTTTTCCATAAAACATAAAATAACAAAATATTCTATTTTAGGAGAAAAACCTGTTTTGATTAAAATTTATGTGTTACGGACCTTATAATTCTAAACAAAAATAGTGCAACCCCTCATTGCTCTAACAATTACGGTTCAAAAGTTATTGCAGCTTTTGTGATTTATCCCTACAGAATATCATAGTCACTCCCACTGCTTACCTATGATGAAGGTTGTTTACAAGCTTATGGGAGAAAGTATGTGTCAGTTTGCTGATACGGTCTATTAAATTTTATTATTCCCTGATACAAACACAAAAAATTAAAATTGTCACAAAAAAGTATTAAATACACACTGTTAAGTTTCCATGTACCACGTTTTTATAGCTTACAGACGCAAATTCCTTCCATAGAATAATATAAATTCAAATTTATTTTAAAAATTGATATCTTACTACACATGGTAGTCTGCTGTAGAACAAAGAATAGTAGACATAACATTTTGCAAGTTTGTTTAAACCTAGTTATGATTAATGGTATAAAGATTTTTTCTTTTGATGTTAAAAGCAAGTTTTATGGCTGTCAAAGATATTAAATATGGTACTTGGTTTTCCAAATTGAATTTCTTCCAAAATTGCTAAACTTGTTTAGGAATCGTGAGGACCTCTTGAACCAATGAGTAGTCCATACACTTAAAATTTTGATATTGTATATTTTTCCAAATAATAGGAAATAGTTTTTTTTATATATTTTAACTTTTTCTTTTTAGACTTCCTTTGGCTGATTTTCATTGTCTCGAGACGAATAACCGTTTCAAATATTACAAGTAACGTCTTTTTTTTAAAAGAAAACTATTTGCACAGAAAACACTGATACAGTATAATCTCCTCGATAACAAGAGTTATGGGAATTATAAAATAAGACCTGTTATCAAGGTTGACATCTTACCGAGGTTTGCAATAACGTGTGATGAGGGGTAAATCAAATCAATTGGAAATTTGGAAATGCTACTTTTTAACAGGGTAGATTTGTTATCGAGGTTCTATATAAAAATTAACAGAAAAGTTAAAATAAAAATGTTATAAATTCACATTTGTAGCCTGTGTTGGATCAAAATAAAAAAATGTTGATGCCACATAAAACAAAAACAACCAACATTAAATCTAATTACTGATTTAAAAAAATATATATGCCGTATCAGATAAATAGTAAAAAAAATGTGGTTGGGAAAAAATATGGTAAGCGTCACCTGTCTCGTGTGTCCGAGTACTCGGTATTTTTAATGTTAAATATCCGTCCATCAATGTGCGTTTTCGTGTGTGTTCTATGTACTTATTTATTAAATGACGACCTTCATATACGGAGATGAATAACGACACCTTGTACGGCCTGAAGATGATTCCCTGTGAATTGAAACTATAGTTGCCACAAGCAACATTTTGGATTACTGAATGCAGGTATTTAAACCATTATAAACATGGTCAGGGTTGGAAATCCCTTCATACCGTCAATAAGCAAGTTTTTTAGAGGGGTCTCAAACTGGGAATGGCTGTGTTATTAGGGGTGTAGGTAGGTATAAGGGAAATCATTCCATAAGTAACAAAAACAGCATAGATAAAACATACTCCCTTAGTAGATTTGTCATCCTTAACAGGCTGATCCAATACACATTATGTTGTAAACTGTACTGATGTACTGATACTGTGGTAATGACAAGTCCACAAATAGATCAGGTACACCCGTGAGAGCATTCCTCAGTCTACATTGAGGGTAGGCCTATTTACTGCTTCAAAGAATAGTTGTTGAATGTATGCTTATTGCTTACCTTTGAATATTTGCAAATTAAAAACTGTTCCTCTTGTAGTTAGCTAATTTGATGACCATTATCAAACCATTTGAGCTCCAGGATAATAATTTATTCAATTATACCTATGTTACTTTCTCCCCCTAGGCCTACATATGGAGAAAGTATTGTTTTCGTCAACATTTTCGAGTTTGAGTTTTGAGTGGATATATCCGTTTTGGGCCCCCCCTGAACCCAAAATAGTGTTTTTCAGAGTGATGTCCTTGTGAGTTTATGTCGATGTTACAGAGCAACAGACCACACTTGTTGTCCAATTTGATGAAATTTGGTACGTAGGTACTAATCTATTATATCTCCAGGCGTGTTTTCGTTTTTTCCTAATTTTTATTTTTATTGAGGATTTTTCCATAAAAACCCATAAAATAACAAAATATTCTATTTTAAGAGAAAAACCTGTTTTGATTAAAATTTATGTGTTACGGGACGGACCTTATAATTCTAAAAAAAACTAGTGCAACCCCTCATTGCTGTACCGGTAACAATTACGGTTCAAAAGTTATTGCAACTTTTGTGATTTATCCCTACAGAATATCATAGTAACTCCCACTGCTTACCTATGATGAAGGTTGTTTACAAGCTTATGGGAGAAAGTATGTGTCAGTTTGCTGATACGGTCTATTAAATTTTATTACTCCCTGAAACAAACAAAAAATTAAAATTGTCACAAAAAAGTGGGTTACTGTAGTATTAAATACACACTGTTAAGTTTCCATGTACCACGTTTTCATAGCTTACAGACGCAAATTCCTTCCATAGAATAATATAAATTCAAATTTATTTTAAAAATTGATATCTTACTACACATGGTAGTCTGCTGTAGAACAAAGAATAGTAGACATAACATTTTACAAGTTTGTTTAAACCTAGTTATGATTATTGTTATAAAGATTTTTTCTTTTAATGTTATTAGAAAGTTTTATGGCTGTCAAAGATATTAAATATGGCACTTGGTTTTCCGAATTGAATTTCTTCCAAAATTGCTAAACTTGTTTAGGAATCGTGAGGACCTCTTGAACCAATGAGTAGTCCATACACTTCAAATTTTGATATTGTATATTTTTCCAAATAATAGGAGATAGTTTTCTTATATATTTTAACTTTTTCTTTATAAACTTCCTTTGGCTGATTTTCATTGTCTCGAGACGAATAACCGTTTCAAATATTACAAGTAAAGTCTTTTTTTTTAAAGAAAACTATTTGCACAGAAAACACTGATACAGTATAATCTCCTCGATAACAAGAGTTATGGGAATTATAAAATAAGACCTGTTATCAAGGTTGACATCTTACCGAGGTTTGCAATAACGTGTGATGAGGGGTAAATCAAATCAATTGGATATTTGAAAATGCTGCTTTTTAACAGTGGAGATTTGTTATCGAGGTTCTATATAAAAATAAACAGAAAAGTTAAAATAAAAATGTTATAAATTCACATTTGTAGCCTGTGTTAGATCAAAATATTTTTTTTTTTACCAAAAGTCAGTATCAGAGACAATAATTGTCTCTGATACTGACTTTTGGTAAAAAAAATCATTCTTATGTTAACTGATATTATAAAAATAAAACTTTCCCAACCACATTTTTTTACTATTTATCTGATACGGCATATATTTTTTTAATTATTAAAATTATATTAACTATAAAATTATAAAAATATTAATTATTAATTAATAAAAAACATTGGTTGGTAAATTTCTAAGCTTGCAAAAAAGAGCTGTAACCAACACCAAACAACCTAATAACCTTTAACTTTTAATGTAGCATATAGCAAAGACATTACAATGACTAACTTATGGCCTTCTATAAAAAAATCCACAATTTCTTCAAATATGTAATCAAAATACAGTATATTGATTCCCACATTTCCAAAATTAGCATATTTTTGTTAAATTAAATGTAAACAGATAAAGTATTTTCTTGTTTGAACTTATGATCCATTTGTATTGCAGTATACATAATAAGTTTTATTTATTTACTGGCCGTGAGCGCAGATATGCTTATCTTGAAGATCTACAGCGCAGTATTGTGGAAGGCCCGACCTGCCACTGCCATATATATATCACAGTGATCTTGTGATCACCTCAAAACTCTGTGATGGTTCCCTCATTCAACATTGTTGTGGTGCTTCTCGCCTCAGCTTCAGCGGAAACTTTCGACAACAACTTTGGTCAAGTTGTGTTCTCCCATGTGGTAGGTAAAATTTTAATTAAATAACTTTATTTCTTTATTTTTATTTATTTTATTTGTGTTTTTACACTATGTAATTTTTTAATGATTTTAATGATTTGAAACTCAAAATATCATCATTTCTCTCCAAACCATATTCTAGAGGTTAAAAAAAGAAATAATTTTGTATGTTGAAGTGTTGTTCTATGCCCAACAATTACGGAGATAATAAAAACAAATGTAAATTAAAAATTCCCATGTTTTTCTAACTGTTGTAGTTTGCTTGTTTATGGATATATTTTAACCAAGTTTTTAAACTATGTTTATTTAATACTAAGCTATCAACATTGCAATATAAAAATGCACCTCAATACGTTCCCTGTAGCAGCATACCTAACTACTCAACTAAATTAATGTTAAGTTACTTAAATAGGAAATAAATTTGACAATTTTTAGGGGATATTTTAGTAGAAATCCAACCAGGTAAATGGAAATTCACTAGGAATTTCAATCCTTCATTTTTTTCAGCAGGTTTGCTGCGGCAGGGTATTTTATATCTTTTTTTAAAAACGTTTATATGTTAGAACATGTTATTTTTGAAAAATTAGTGAAGCCCCTCTAAAGTAAGTAACTAAATATTTGTATTCTATGAATGAGATTTTATTTCTAAAAGATCCTTTACTTTCAGCTATTTCGACATGGAAGTAGAATGCCGCTGGAATTCTACCCAAATGATCCTTATAAAGACTCTTCAAACTGGCCTTTCAAAGTTGCTCAACTAACAGATGTGAGTAACTGTGGTGTTTTTGAATTTTAAGAACAATGTTTTAGGAGAATTATACACAAATTGTGAGTTTACTATACGTCCATTGCCTAAAATAATGGTCTAAAGCATTCATCCAACATTGATCATATTGTACCTAGTTTGTGAGAGAAACAAAATTTGCAAAGTATGTACCGGTATGTTAAAAATAAAACCGTGTTGGTGTTTATACCTCCCAAAGAGATATATTCATTCACATAAGGATACAATATCTTTCTTGAGATATGATGCACATAAGGCTACAAACAAATTGTTTTTGGCAAATCCAATGTTTTGATCAGCAAGAATAAAATCCATCTTAACTGTGTTATACCCTTTTGCCAGTACAACAGTAGGACGCATGTGAAACAAATCTCTCTAAACTTGAACGTTTGGTAACTTCAAATGCCTCATGATTGTTGTAGCGAACACCATCAACCTAGTTTCTGGATTAAGTTTTTTTTTGTTTTGTTTTTTTTTGTCCTAAGACACTAGGCACGTGCCTGGGATGGTTTTTCACATTACTTCAGTCTAGACCTAGGGGTTGCGGCATTATCACTTAGATAAAATCCATTGGTGATTTGGCGGGATTTGAACCCGGGACCCCCAGGGATCGAAGCCCCGTGCTCTAACCACTACACCAGCTCGCTCCCCAGTTTCTTGAGTAAAGTGAAGCAAGTAAATCTTAATTTCACAGACCCTCAATAGTTAGGAGGGAAGACTTCTTACAAGTGTTATGGAGGTCCATTTAATATTCAATACTTTTCCTCCAAACCTAACCTTTCAGTACTGAAAGTTGCTTATGTATAACCCTAAATTTTTGTAACAGATGGGCAAAAAGCAAGAGTTTGAGTTGGGACAGTGGCTGCGACGTAGATACGACTCGTTTATCAGTGACTTTTACAATCCAGAGGAGGTCTACGTTCAGAGCACGGACGTTGACCGTACATTGATGAGTGCAGAGTGTCTAATGGGAGGTCTATATCACTCGAACAAGACTGTACATAGTTGGGAACCAGTACCTATACATACGGTGCCTGGTCCCAGTGACTGTGTAAGTATATGAAAAAGTATGTGAAGGAAACGGTAGATACTTTATTTAAGCTGCTAACAGTATTTCGAACATATAACAGTATTAAACATTTGAATCATCTTATAGTCAACCCATTGGTGACCTGGACTTAGTACCAAAGTCAAGTTATATATCTTTAACAAACCTGTGGTTTCAATAAGGTAATATATTTTAATTATGTATGGACAGTTTCATACACCTTATAAAACATATTTTCTGATTTTATGAAAAATTTGTTGAACTAAATTATGAGATAGTTTTTCACAGCAAGGTGGGAAATTCTTAAAAAAATCAACAGAAGTGCATACAATTTGTACTCTATTATACTTATTAATTAATTAATTTATTTATTTATTAAACATCATCACATTACATCAATTATCTTGACAGGTGATTTGTCACAAAGTCTAATACTATACTACATTTTAAATAATAAAATAGCTTACAAAATAAATAAAGCAAACAATAAGCTACAAACCTATGGGAGAAGTAATATCTTTCAAATATACTCATCTTCCAGATATTCTTCTAACAAGTAAAATGCCCTCTCCAAAAGGAATTTTTTTGAAGATAGTTTAAATTTAGAAAATGAGGCAATGTTTTTAATCCCAGCAGGTAATTTATTGTAAATTTTTGGCCCCATATACTGAGGGGATAAATGAAAGATTTTAAGCCTATGTTGAACTGGTTTTATAATATTTTTGAATCTTGTGTTATGTGGATGAGATTGTTGACATTCCATGAATGTGTCGAAATCACTTTTAACCATTAATGCCAATTTGTAAATATAAGAGCTAAAATAGGTTAAAATTTTAAAATTAATAAATAAACCTGTACAATGTGTTCTACGGGAGACTCTGGCCATTAATCTTACAGCTCTTTTTTGGAGAATAAATATTTTTTTGGCCTGGCTTGATGAGCCCCATACAGCAATTCCATAATTCATAATCGATGAAAAATATTCGTGATATACTACTATTTGTGTTTCTAGATTAGTAGTATCCCGAATTATTGTGAGAACAAATGTTGCTGAGCGTAGTCTTTTTGATAGGTTTTTAATGTGTTTTGCCAATTTAGTTGTAAATCGATTTCTATTCCCAAATAATTTGTTGACTGTTGTGAATGAATTGTAGTTAAGTTTGTATTTACAATTATTTCTTGGTTAATATTGGATGCAGAAAACTGAATTAGTTGAGTTTTTGCCACATTCATGGACAGGTCATTTAGGGTACTGCAAACCAGTCCCCGAGGAGTTTAAGAAAATTAAATAATTAAAATATAATAACAAACAACCTATATCCTTGGTCGAAACTGGCACAAATGTTTCACAAGTGCTACCTCCAGATAGTACAACCTACCTCCACATAGCTCAATTTAGTACAAATAAAACGTCCAGTCAAATTTCTTACAGTGGCTCTCTACACCTATTGAATTAAATATATGTATTTGACAACATTCAAGTAAGTGAAGTGAATGATCATGTCTTAGTTTTTCAAGAATTTCTGAATCCTTCAACCAGAACTGACAGTTTTAAAGCTATACCCATGTAGCACAGATGGTTGGGCCAACGTTGGCCAACTGTGGGACAGTTGGTCGATGGTTGGTTGGAGCTTCCACAACCAACCAACCGTTGTCCAACTGTATATCTCGTAGTTGGGCCAACCAATATTTACAACTGTGGACCAACATTGGTTCATTGTTAATGAAATACATTAATATGCATTGCTGGGTATCATACATCAAGCCAACCGTTGTCCAACCGTTTTTCACTCCGTTGGACCAACAAAAGATACTTTTGTTGGACCAACGATGGTCCATAGTTGAGTTTACACGACTTTCATTCTCTGGGTCTAGCTTTCACAACATAATTATAATAAAATATCTGGTTTTACAATACCTTTATCAGTTCCAAAAGTTTCCAAAAGTTTTTGGAACTGATAAAGGTATTGTAAAACCAGATATTTGATATATTACAGTTCCGGGGCTACAACAATGAATTTTAATAATTATAATAATGCAAATATTTTTAAAATTAATATTCTTTAACTTATTTGCAACAATTTAAGGGGAAGAGTAATTAATCATATAACAGGCAATTATAATAGCATTAATAATCTAACGGTAATTAATTAATCCATATTCAAATACCAGTATCCTCTCTAACTCCAAAAAAAAAAAATAATAATAATAATAACTACTTATGATGCCTTAACAGATTAACAGAATCATATTATACTGTGTAGTATCAAAAATGTTTGAAGTATTGCGACCATTGCAACTGTCGGCTACTCTTTCACCACTTGAAAACTCTCTATATCAACAATCACAGATAGCTCAGTGGTAAAGTAAGAGGCTCATAAGTCGAAGGACCCGGGTTCGAGACCCGTCTGGGCCTAAAAATTGTGTTCTAGCTTTTTTTCAAAATTTGTTTTTATGAACTATTTAATCAATGTACTCAACTAATAATTATGCTTTTCGTACTAAATCTTTATTATTTTGTGTGAAATAAAACGGTTGGACAATGGTTGGCTGGAAAACAGTTTAAAGAGGTGACATTTCTACCGTTGGCCAACTGTGTGGCTCCACAATTTACCAACGTTGGCCCAACCATCTGTGCTACATGGGTATTTTGTTAATTTTCAATCTTTAAAATACCATAAATTGTTTTGGACATTATTGTAGCAGAAAACGTGCAAAAAACTGTTTAATATTTGTAAATACAAAATTAATTTGTAATTTTCCTACATTACATTCATGTCAACATTTACAAAATCAGAGAATATAAACACAAATGCATTAACAGAATGAATAAACATTTCACAAGCACATATCCTATTTTCTTTTATTACAGTAAACCAATTAATTATAAGATATGATGGGATCAAAAGAATAGTCCGAATAATAAATTGCAATAACTTAAATGTGCAATGCCACTCATGTACACAAAAAATATGTATCTTGAATAAAGTGAATTTGAATCTTGAATCTAGTGGGTAGAGTTAAAAAAATGATTATGCTTATTATCCTCCACTGAGACTGTTTATCACTTCTCTCTGCTAACAAGCATGAAATGCTGGTTTGGCATGTATTGTTTACTTACTAGATCATTAATATTAGGCGATTAGTTCCTCCAATTCAACTGTTGTTTTTCTGTTTAAGTCCTGAAACAAGCTGTTTAACATAATATTTCTATCTAAATAGATGGATTTCTATGGCTATTTCTATTTAATAGTATCACTGTCCAGTTTTGACATTGTATGTCAGGTGAATTAAATGTTTTCTCTGATGATTAAGATTTTCAATATGAATTGATTTTTTGTTTTTATACTATGTTTACATCCATAACCAGGGGTATTTTTAAAACCACTGGGTTTAGTCAAGACCACACTAAAAATAACAGGCCGTAATGCTCGTCAAGCATGACGTCAAGATAGAAGACGGCAATGACGTAGGTATTTATTTATTTATTTTCCAAGGAAAGATTAAAACAAGCAGCTGATCACAAATGGCAAACATTACGTCATTGCCGTCTTCTATCGTGACGTCATGCTTGGCGAGCATTACGGCCTGTTTTTTTTTGTGTGGCCTTGGTTTAGTAAATAAAATACCCATTGATATAGTAGCCTCTCTGATCCAAGTGGTGATGATTAAAATTAATTAATTGAGAATTATTAGTTTAATTTCATAAAAAAGCACAAAAACAATAGTTTAAAAGATACAAATTGTTATAAAGTGTTAAGAATATATAATATTATCTATTACCACCCTCATGAAGTAATTTAGTAACATATGAAAAACAGTTTGCAAACAAATATGGTGTTCCTTAAAACCACAATTAATATAACAAATTTGTTCTTGTAAAACATACTTAAGTGTTAGTGAATATCAAATTTTGTTGATCGTTGTTTTCAAATACTCCTCCTAATACCCAAATGTATGTTATTTCTTTTTAATTTCAAAAAATAACATTAGCTTATTCTATATTTTTTTAGTTATACTTATATGTTTTCTTACAATTACTTCATGAGCTAACAACAGATTTATTTATTTTTATGATGTTAGATGCTGGCAGCCACTGCGACGTGCCCTTGTCCTGCTTACAACATGGAGGTCGACAGAGTGCGCAACCTTCCTGAGGTTCAAGCCCTGGAGAACAAGTTCCAAGATATGTATGACTACGTGTCCAACCACACCGGCAACCAAGTGAGGGACTTTGGAGGCGCGATCAAAATCTACGACGCACTCTCCATAGAGGTTGGGTTTTGTTACATTTGGTGGCTTAAAGCATTGACTATAACAATAATAGAGCAGCATTTATACAAAACAATACAAAAAAACTACGAGTTTGGCTAAATTGGTGCACAATTTCTTTCAACTTTGAGGGCTGCTTATTTTCTTCCGAATGAAAATGTAACATTTGAAAAAATTGACAGTTCAACACAAGGACAATTTGTTGAAACCTAAAACAATGAAGTTAACCTAATACTTAAAGACGAGTTTAAGATTGAATAGTTTTATGAGCAATACTTTATAACACTTATAGGTACAATTTAAAAAATGAACTAATAATATGACTACAAAAGAGATAGAGCCTATTTGGATTTTGTAATTGTTTGTTGAGAAATCATCTGGAAGATCTGGATTCAGAATGGGTATTATTAGGTGATAACGTAGGCCTACCTAGTACCTATAACTATTTTATCACAAAAAGAAAAAATGTCTAAGTAAGATAAAGATACAAAAAGCTGCAAAGTTATGATTAAAATACTATTTTTTTTCTTCAAAGGACAGATCAGTTAAGATTGTGTTGTTCGAGACACTAGACAAAAATAAGCTTATATAGCGATGACCTTTGTTGTTTTAATCTTAATTGCAAATCTTCATGAGAAATTAACTATTTGCAATGGTGTTGGAACTGTAACTTAAGGTTAGATTGTTTTAGAAGAAGATAATATCAAATCAGTTCAACATTTTATATAAGTTCTTCAAATGTAAATTTAATTGAAGAGAATTTCCAAAGTTGGGTATTGATTTTAGTGTTTTTTTTTATATTTACTCATAAGATAAAAAAATATTTGATCAAAAATATGTTTTCTAAAAGAAAAAAAGATAAAAAGGCTATTACAAGGCTAACTATTTCTTGAGAAATTAACTTATCCCCTGTACAACATTTATCCTTACCTATCATAAACAAAAATAACCTAAAGTCCTCTTAATTGGAAATTATAGTCAAAATCAATCAAATATCAACTATTTACTAGTGACTATTTGCAGAGTCAAGAAAGTGAATTCTAACCACTGAGCTACCAAGGTGGTACATTTATTTGTTTTTTCGTTTTTAGGAGGAATACAACAAGACTATTCCAGAATGGGCCCGTTCTATTTATCCAGAACCCATCAGGACGGCTGCGTTGTACAGCTTTGTCCTTCCTACTTGGACCACACAACTTCAGAAGTTTAAAATAGGTTGGTGCAAAATAATAATGGTAATTTAATAAATAATTGTATACAGTCTTCTCAAAAAGGATACCGGTAACAGAGTAAGTTTTAAAACATTTACCTATTTCTCTTTATGGAGGAAAAGAAAATTGATATAAAAATGTATTTCTTGAATATAAATTTATAAAACACGATTTATGGTGTGTTTCTTTAAAGAAAAATGATATTAGAAGCAAACTAAAGCACTCATAATATTTTTCTAAAAAATCAACTTTGTTGTATTATCTTAAAACATATAATTTTTACTACCACATTGTACATGTGTTAAGCAATCAAAAAATTCACAGCAGGGCAAAGTCCTCACAATATTAAAGCTTTTGCACTAGAATGGTAAAATATTGGCTTTTACGATCCGGAAGACTACCTATTTTAGATAGTCTTGACTAGTCAGCTGTCCAGCTGTACTGGCTGGGGTCTTGGATAAGCTTACATTGGTTGTCCTTGTTAGGTACCAGTACGTCTGTACTGCTAAACATAAAAACACTCAATCACAGGGAAGGCCAGCAGCACTGGCCAAATCTTTATTTTCACACAATATGTTGTACGTTTTGATGTGTCATAATAGTCGTTTATGCAGCCATTAATTATATAATAGTACAATAGGCTATGTCAATATCAGACTCACAAAGTAATAAGCTCCCAGAGAAAATAAAATAAAAATAACATTATTTTTATCTTTTTCTTAACCAATACAAACAGGTTAATGGGCCAAACTAGTTGTAGGCATAACGTAGCTGATTTCTAAGCATTGGGGGAGTAAAAAATATTGTCTTGAAAAAATCTTTTAGAGTTCTCTTAAATTAGGTGAAATTTAAAGCTCTCAATGAGGCTGGGAGTTTGTTGAAAAACTGAATCTGCTTGTAATGATGGCTATTAATTGATTTATTGCCTAAATTGAGGTAATTTGGATTCTGCTTATTACTGGTATTGTATTTAAGTATTGAAGATATGTCCATAAATGAGAGTTGGCTTTCCTGTGTGCTGAGTAGAGACACTTTGAAACTAAAATAACTTCAAGCTGGTAGAATGAAACCACAACATGATTGCTGGAAAAACAGCCAGTGGTACAAGTGACATGAGCGGCAAGGAAAGTTGGTGTTAAGCCTTTTTAAGCCTTTTCCGCACTGTTAATGTAAAAAACACATCTTTAGCAGCAACTAACCAACTGAGAGCAAAGGGGTTAAAATTCTTAAAATAAAAGCCTCTAATTTATCGCTACAGAGTATTTAAAGTTGAATTTCAATTCAAACTCTGATATTAGCTACATTAGGATGTTTAGTACAGCGTGTTATGGTTTCCAGGACCCCTTCTCAAGGAGATGGTGGGACATTTCCAAGCAAAGCGCAGTGGATCCTTGTCACCAGATCGGAAGGTTTGGTTCTACTCCGCTCATGATGCAACCATTTCAGCTTTCCTCAACACTCTCAAAGTCTTTGATATTCACTTCCCTCCTTTCTCAGCCTGTGTTATTGTGGAACTGCGAAAAAAGAGTGAAGAATATTTTGTCACGGTAAGGAATAGTTTGATACATTTCAATTTCAAATTCATTTACTTATCAGACCACAAAAGCTTATTATTATTTATAATGTCCGTGCTTTGTAATGGAAATGACACTGAAGAGAAAAATTTGATTTTTAAATCTGTTGTATAAAAAAGCAACACATCCGCCCTTGGTTTCAGGAACATGCTATGATTTAATTTTCAAATTATTCGCTTCCTTAAAAGTTTATTTGGTTGAAAAACTTACATATAAAGTGAGTGGTAAAAAATAATCGCACAACATAGGGTACTGTACTAAAGCAAAAATAGTTTATATTCATTTTATGTCAAATTGATATGTTTTACCCTAACTACAGAACTGTACTGCATCAATGTAAATGAGAAATCAACAACATATAATACACAACAGTCATTGTTTTTAACCTTTCTATTGTTCATTGTATTAATTTACACCCTAGTTGTTGAGTAAAGAAACAGAGTTACAGATTTTTAAGGATTATTTTACATATTTCCCAGTGGCAAGAACTAGAATATTTAATTATTGAACAGTTGTTACCTTAGCCTTTGTTCTTGCAGAAAGATGTTAAAATCCTTCAATATATTTCGCCACAGTGTGTGGCATCATCAGGAAGACAAGAAGAACTATTTACACATTTTATATACGGCTCGCGTTCGCGAAGTCGCCACAACTTAAATGTCGGTATATATTTATTCCTTGTCACAGATAGTATTGGCCCTTTAAAATCAATGTTAAGTCTCCCAAGATTCAAGATTCAAATTGTCTTTATTCAATATATAACATATATAAAACATATATGTATCTGAATAGAGTCAAAATCTATATATAAATCATATACATTAAAACATAAATCTACGCAAATGTCCATTAAGAAAAGTAAATGGAAATTCAAATAAAATATTTTTTTTATCTACAAATTCTTGTAATGAATAAAAAGGATTTTTTATTAAAACATCTTTTTAAAGTTTTTTTGAATTTTTTGAAATTTCTCTCCTGCCGGATGCTTATTGGTAAATATTGTAACAATTTAAATCCTGCATAAGTGGTTTTCTTTGTATAATATTCTAATTTATGCTGAGACAATCTAATTTTTAACCTAGTATTGTAGTTATGCCTGGAATTGGAGGATGTTATTAGTTCCATTTGTTTCAAAAAGATGATGGTTTAAAGAATATATAAATTATACAAAGTTAAAATTTTCAATTTATGAAAAATATTCTTCACTGAGATGGTTTTCCATAATTTCATAACTGTGTGAATTGCTCTTTTTTGCTGTTTAAGTACTTTATCAAGATTTGTTTTTGTTGTTCCACCATAGACTGTGATTCAGTATGAAATGTGGGATTGAACTAATGAATAATAAATAATTTTTTAAGTTTCCAAATCACAGACTCTGGTTATCTATCTCAGAGCATAGATACCAGAAGATAATTTGTTTACAGGTTGTTGATGTGATCTTTCCTATCAGAGATTTTCATCAATGATTAAACCAAGAACTTTAGTTAGGCCCACTTGATCTATTCTATCTGATTTTAAGAAAATGTTTGGCTCAAATTTGACTTTTGATTGTTTGGTTGAAAATGGCATTAGGTTTGTTTTCTTTTTATTTACTAATAGATTTTTTTATTAAGTAATTTATAAGTTTATTCAGCCATTCTTAGTTCACTTCTTTTGATTTAACGTTATCCCTGGTTTTATATAGCATACAGATACAGTACATAGAATTGATTGGCAAATGAGTAATCCATATGTAATATTGCTTACTGGCTTAATGATAAATCACGATCAGCTGTATTGAAGTAAATAAAAATCAGCAGTGAATGGCTTCTAATGCTATTCTTATGGAGAACATTTTACGTTATATATAATTTTGTGTTAAAATGTTGGGAATTTCACTATTTTTCCTGCCATCTTTTCGCAAAAAATTGTCTTGCGTAATGAATACACAGATATACGTCCGTGAACGCGATAACTTGAGTAATTTTTGTCTGATTTTGATGAAATTAGGTTTAAAGGTGTAAGGCGGGATAAACTTGAATGGGTTTGCGAACGAGCATGATCGGACCATGGGAACAGGGTTTTATGGGGTAAAAAATGGCTTTTCTCATTTTTGACCTTCATAACACAAAATTTCCCAATTTCTCTCTAGTCCTTTTTAAAGAGCTTAAAAAAAAAAACAAATGATTTACTGTATCAAAGTATTTTTGTACGGTTATTGATAATGGAGAAAATTCAAAAAGAGTAAATTTAAAATTCCCAAGTTATTCTTAAGGAAAATATTGTAAAATTTTGAAGTTTGCATGTTTATTGATATATTTTGATCAAATTTTGCAAAATTTTTTTATTGTATACTAAGCTATTAATATTTTACAAAAAAACCCACATTAATAGTTTCCTTGTAGCAGCAAACTTAGGTACTCGTTAAATGTAATGTTAATATAAAGTTTACTCTTTCATAATCATCTATAATTAATATAGGACGTACAGCAATATATTTTGTTTAAGTTATTGAGCTTTTGGTATTTTATTTTCCCAGTTGGTCTACCGTAACAGCACAGTCAGTGAGCCCCAGCTGTTACCTATCAAGACCTGCAGCACTCTGTGTCCTCTAGACCAGTTTATCGGGCTGGTACACCCTCTGCTGCCTGACGACTGGGTTCAGGAGTGCCAACTGGTTGAGGAAATGACAGTAAATTATCTCTGGCTTTTTGGTGAGTAACACAAACACTCAAACAGTTACAATATTCTAACTTAACACTTTCAAGTGTGTGCTCTATGTTTATTTGGAAGTCGGAGCTAAATAGAGGAGTCCCAGCTTCACTAATAATTAGGTAATGCTGGCGTAAATAATTAGGTAAATACCCCCACTGTAGCAAACCTGCAGACCTTTTCATTTATCCAATTGGATTTTTACTAAAATAAAAATAGTTCCTTAAATATGCCAGATGAATTACCTATTTAAATAATTAGGTTCAAACAGTACAGTAGAACTGCTTTAATCCAAATCCCCGTAATCCAAACGCCTCATTGCTGTACTCTATACACAGTACAGTAGTTCTTTATTGTTTACTATACCTATTTATTCATATACGCACCGTAATTGTTTCTAATGTAATGTACAGTACTGTTTATTCACTATGTTTACTACTGAATTAAATAAAGACTGGACAGGGAAGAAAAAAAGTTTTCGTTTTTTTTGGATGGGGGAAATGTCAGTAGTAAAGTGTATAGTTAATAAATTTCATTTTTGTGTAGTCGCGAGTCACTTAGCATATAAATAATTTACCTTAATTACGTCCTGTTACTCATGTACCTCCTCTAGAGTGGATTTCTTCAGATCCTCGTCAAAAATATCAACTAATTATCACTCATATCGAGGTTGTCAAAATATTTATTACGAACAAAGACTGTTTAAATAGAACATAAAATTAAAAAATTTAACTACGACTGTGGCCTCAGATGTGCACTACATGATTGACACGTACGGACTGCCCTGTTCTGTTTAAACAATGTTCCTTTGTTTGTTCGTGATAAACGTTTTGACGACCTCAATATGAGTGATAATTACAGTAGTTAATATTCTTGAGAAGGGTCTGAAGAAGGCGACATTTTCGCCGTAAGGATTGTAATCCACCCTAGTGGAGGTAAAGGAGTCACAAGACGTAATAAAGGTGAATTAGCTTATTATTTAATAAATTTGCTGAATTTGATCGAAACAAGCTATATAAAAATAACATACAAGCAAACTTTTGTACAACAGTTTGGCTTCTCTCCATAACAATTGTATTAGAATTATAAATGTAGTTTTTTTATTTTTTTTTTTTTTTATTTTCTCAGTCACCCTTTATTGTACAACCCTTCTTTACAATACTTAATAATGAATAACACTTCTGAGTAAAAAACAAGCTACTATCAAAATGATTGATGATATTTACCATAAATCTTTACAAATTCTTACACTAACTGTAATGCTATAATTTCATAAACTTATGAGTATTAGTAAAATTTATTGATACAACAAAAATAATAATAACACACACCATACCACATAATTGTAAATGTTTGTTACAGCAATTGCAGCTGCAATTGTCTTTCTGATCTTGGTTACAACTCTTCTGATTGTTTACTGCAAAAAGCGGAAATGCTCCAGAACCTATCTGACAATGCCCTACCCTTACCAAGGCGGAGGTGTCAAAAACAACCCTTATCTTCATCAGGCTTTTACTTATAATTTGCCTAAGTAAAATCACACAGTCACAATATAATGTATTGTACGGATATGAATTAAGTTAAAATCCACTTCAAATCAATTTTTTTCTGATATCGACAATTTTGTTGTAAAAATCAAAATATCTTAACTTGACGAGTTAACTGTGATAAATTTGTTTACTTTTGAGGCCTGATCAAAAAGGCCTCTCTTTTCTAAAACTAAAATAATAACATAGGAAACTCCCTCTCATTTAGATGCATTTTTGTCTTTAAATGGTTCGGATGGCTGCATTTGACATTGATTGGCATTTGACTTGAGGACTTGCATGTACACACATTGCTTTTGTCATTAACCACAGAAACAAAGAATCCAAACCCTGTTATCTGAATAAATCTGAAGTAACTAGTTGGGTACCTATTGTATATTTGATTTGATAAAATCAGTTTATTTACTTTTCACACATTATGAGTGGTCTTGAAATTAAATGTATCTACATCCATTTTGGTTTAGGCTTTTGATGGTTTCAGATTTGTTTTCCTAAGGTGTCAAAGTGAGAGTGAGTTTTCTTGTTTTTAGTCATAGGTTACAGGGTCTAATTTAGTCTTAAGGAAAATACATTTTCACTCTGTTGTTAGTCATATTTTATTTATTTAACAATTCTTTTATAATAAAATGTCAAAAGTTATTTTCTTTATTGTTTCGAACCACAAAACCCAGTTAACAAGTTGACTCTGGCTATTTTAATACCAGTATTATGGTATTATAATGATTAAGTAAGTATTAGTTTAATATCTCAGAGACCATTTGGAAAAAGAACAACACTATTTTGTAAAATAATTTAAACATTTAATTAATATAAATATACAAAATACAATTTAATTTACATGAATGGACGGACACTTAAATTTTAGTACACTTGTTGTAATATAGGTAAGTGCACTTGGTTTAAAAAATAATCAAAGACAAAACATATTGATTAAAAATACATTTATCAAAATTTCAATTGTGGAATAATGAAAATATTTTGAGAAAACAATTTAATATAACTTACAAAACACTGTTTTATTCACAAGAATGGACGGAATACTTAAATTTAAGACACATCTTCTTAACAAGGAAAAAAGCTAAATATTTAATTTATATGTTAGAACCATATACACAACCAAGGAAAACCATTTAAAAAAAATCTAATTCGGAGGTAAAAAGTCTGCCTGTTTCTTTGTTTGTAAAAGAAAGACAGGAAAACAACATTTAATAGAAAAAAATACCAGCAATACTGTTTAGTAAAAAAATACATAAAATATTATTAATAAAAACTTAAGAAAATATATAAAGAAAGCAAATATAAAAAAATACAAATTATTTCAGGAGCAATACTATTATACTATGCATTTTCTTTTCCAATGTATATACATTTCCATATGTAGGTCTGTGCATGTAACAAATATAACAAAACACTAATTTACAAAAATAAGATGTATTCACTAATTGGTACACAAAGGAACACTTACACATTTAAAATTATGTGTATTTGTTTAATAATACTAATTTGAACCTACAGCAAATTAAATAATTAATGTGCGACTTGATGATAAATAATAGCATGTTATAATAGTTAACAACAATATTTCAATGGTTTGGGAATTCTGATGAACATAAATCAGAATTTGCTATTTAATACATAAATTGATACGTGGCACATATTATGCATTAGAAAATATGAGGATGAAAATACAAAACAGCTTAATTTACTTGCTCATTCAAATTGTACCAATCAACTTGAATTAAGACGAGTTAAGGTTATTCACAACTAGCCCGTTAATTTTATAATTTTTTTCTTTCTCAACCGGAGTTGATCTTCATATAAAATCTTAGACAATTATTAAATTATACTGTCTTATAAGTCCAACTTATCAGCTAATCATAAACACTTAATAAAACACTGTATTTTTGAAATATATTACCATTTTAAAACACTATAAAAATATAACTTATTAGGGCCTATTGTTCTAAATATAAGATTTAAAGATAATATTTCTGTTTGAATTAAAAACAAATTGTACTCAGTTTGTACTACTATACAAAAATTATAACAAATTCACAATTTTTTTACACCAGTGGTATTTACAAGAGGTCATGAGAGAATAAATGTTTACAAAAGGGATTCACAAAAATAACAAAACAATACAATATTTAGATAAACACTGCTAAAATGTGAGTCAATTAAAACATAATGTAAACCAATACATTGTGAGGTTAAATAGAACTAATGATTAAATTTAACATGCCCATAATGCAGTTTAATGATAGTGTAAGAGCATAACCCATAATACTCTATGGAAACATAATTACATAAATACAAGTTTTACAAATCACACATTTGACATTTAGAGCCCTAGGAGCTTGCTTGTGAATATGTAACAGACTGCAGCAGTACTGCAATATCTGCTTGATTCAGATATTATCTAGAATATTTTGAGTGGTAACAGATCACTAACCGTTTCAGATCTAAATCCAAATTCTCAGAAGTGTAAACAAGAAATGAAATGCATTGTGTAAAATTATAAATACATTAGTTTCTCTTAGAGTTTCAATCATTCACTTTGCCTATGCCTATTTATAAGCAAATAAATCAAGAAGGCACATACTAATAAAACAGAATTACTTTTGTAAATAATATACACACAATAAAACTAATGATCCTATTTTATTTTTGGGTAGCAGATACATTTGGCAAAAGTTAATCCGACTAATTAACATGTTTGACTCAAATATAGCCTACCTATTCAAAAAATTAAGACTTGCCTTAAAAGGTACGATGTTGAACTATATAAAAAACCTACAGTACATGAAGGCACTGAGTGCTGTCAGAGTGGCGATACTGGCTATGTTGCCAGAAACTGTGGTTGACCCGTTACAACCATCCTCCGCACAGTAACATTCTTCCCAATAGATTCCGTTTTCATAAACACCCCAGTTGCAGACACCTGTAACTCCAGTGTCAGCCACTGAAGCGCATCGTCGGATCACCTGTCTCCACCGACCATCCCCTGGAAAGAAACATTTAAGAATGATCATTCAAAACCGCCTCAATTTCATTTTCAATCCAGTACAGAACAATATTATGAATTATAGTTCACTTTCAGCCATTGTCATGAATGATGAACATTTTTAGCAAACCAGAAACCTCAGAATTTCGTTGACTAGGGTCCACCTTCAGTCACCATTGCTGGTTCAATCTTCCAGAAGTTTTTGTCAAAAGCTCTTTCCATTATGTTTTTTATACATTCTTAGGACAAACATGCATGAAGAAACCTAAGAACGGCCCTCAAGACTTGTACTTTAGGCAGATGTGGAAACGGTAGAGGTAGTCAGTAGGGCCTACAATAGTAGTATAGTTATAAGTCAAGAGCACAAAAAACTAGCTGCTACATAGCACAAATTTTGGTCGCTAATAAAATTAAAATAATAATTGTAATGAATACATAATAAAAAGTGACCATCGTTATGAATAAGAATTTGAAAGTTGTCCATGTGATGATACAAAAACACAGAATAGCCATTACAGTATAAGTAGTGTGGTACGTGGACAAGCCAAGAGTGACTGTAGTGATAGAATGTGTTTGGTGTTGAACCAGTAATGTTGACTTATTAGCCACAGACGGTAACACTAAGCTACTGTGTTCAGTAACTAGGTTCTTCTCTGGAGCAAAATTAAATTAGAACATCAAACTATCATGGTGAAATTTAGCACAAAATTTTATACTACATTATTAATGTTTCGATATCTAACTTAGGCCTAGCCTACTTTTGAAAAGTGACACTGATAAAACACTATAAATAATTACTCAACTCCCTTTCTAATTATGAAATCTCAATGAGGTGCATCTCATCCCATAGTTAGCAAATTTTGTTATATAGAGAAGGAACAATAGACTCACGATTGTTCAAAAGTGGATTAACCACACTGCATATGAGACGGGCCCAAAAAAATCTAAATGAAAAAATAAACAAGCAACAGCCAAGTTATTCAACATGACAGGATGCCCATCATGCAGGCAGACTATAGAGTTACGGTTGTTTACTTCACGAGTCACCAATTACCACCAATGAGTTCATTCAATTACTTTCCGTGGGTTTTAATTTTTGCCAAGCCTATCTATACATAGTCTCTCTAATATTTTTTTTTTTAAATAGGTGTGAATATGTGTGAAACAAAGGTAAAACCATATGTACACTGCATTTAAAATATTTTATTATTACCTAAACCTGTACTAAAGCATGTCAATGTTAGTTATTTCATGGGCATTTTAGGTTAGGTTTCCATTATCCACCATCACTTTACCATCATCCATTTATCATCATGGATGAACTGTTGATTCTATAACAAGCACAGAAACCGAGATTAAATTCCATTCATACAATTCGACGTTCCTGAGGGGAAACAATCAGGGAAAAAGTTTTAAAAACTAAAGTCAACAAAGAGTGGGAAGGGAGTGAATGTGCCTAACTTAGAAGACAAAAGAAAAATAATACCTACTTATAAAAAAGTTGAGCTGTGAAAATATGCATGAACACCAGAAGAAACGGACTAATATGCTCAATAAAGGCCATAACAAATAACTTATATTTTAAATTGTTGGGAAATCTAGTAGTAGTATCCATGCATTTTTTGAGTTTGAACAAGGCTAAGAGTTTTAACAAATTTGATAGAGACAGTGTCTTATAGGCCTAGTTTAGGGGCTACTTGATAAAATCGCATTGGTTAAGCATCAGTATACTTACAAATAAATCCTCGGGGGCCTTGTTGCGTTATCTTCATGCAAAAGGACCCTGGAGCAACAGTTTCGTCACTATTACAATCCACAGCTATGTGCCGGTCCTTCTGAAACTTCTCGTATGCGCCGCAGTTGTCCTCTCCCTTGGGATCTTGATGAGAAGAACACTGATAACAACGAACTGCATCGCCTGCAAAGAAATCACAACATGAGATTTGAGCCTGTCTGGAATCAATTAATTGGCAAGTTTACAAAATTACAACCTACAGTAGTATAAAATTCAACAAAATATTTCTACACTAAGGCCTATATTAAAATTATGCAATGGGTGAGCTAAGGGCTGGCTGGGCAATGCTAAGTAAAGAGTAAGTTACAGTAGGTAGGCCTTTGTATTGAGATACATAATTAGAAAGGGGGTTGAGTAGCCTACTGAGTAACTGTAATGTGTTTTTTCGGTATCACTACTTCAAAAGGCAAGCATTTATTAAATAGTATTTTGCAGTGTCTTACCCAGGGTTTTAATTAGACAAAAAAGTCTGGAGATAACATAAACTAACAACTCGGTTCATTATGACCTCCCATCCTAACATGAAATAAGGACTAGGTGCAAGTGGGCATGAAGCCCATATATATCCCCGTAGTGAGACGACATTCTCTTTAAAGAAAATATTATTGACTAATTATTCACTTAAGAAGTGTTTCTTTAGTCAATGATTTTAATCCACAATAGGCTATTGTTAAATCTTTCCCTCATTCACAAGTTTGCGAATTCAGAAAATTCCCCTCGATTCTGAACTATCCATTCATAAATGTACCGCTTTAGATTGTTCTAAGCTTAAAACGGAAGAACAAATATTCAGAACTATTCGAGGAAAAGATTGGTGAGGCTCCATATGTCTGCAATTTAACTCCTAAAGATAATGCTTGTCCAGTATTTTTAAAGCCAAGGATAGTTCCTTGCACTTCTAGATGAGGTTGAAGCTGAATTAGATCGGTTGGAAAATCTAAAAATTATTGAAAAAATGGACAACACACAATGGGAAGTCCTCTAGTCGTCGTTCCAAAGCCAGACGGGAAAGTGAGGCTATGCTTTGAATATAAGAGTACTATTAATTCACAGCTTGAAGAGACAAGATATAGCCTAGCTACTATAGCCTACCAGTCATAGATGAAATCTATATATATAAAATCCAATGTATGTTTGTTTGTTTGTTTGTCCTTTATGGACTCCGAAACTGCTCGACAGATTGTAATGAAACTTTCAGACATTATCTACTCTCGAGGAACCTATCTAATGAAAATGTTATCTTTTGGCATTAAAACGGCCCCAAGCGAATTTGCCAAGTTCATTGACACAGTGCTACAAGGACTTGAATACACCCTTGCTTATTTCAATGACATTATAATTTGGGGTTCCAAAAGGTTGCTTACTTGTTTGTCTCGTCTAGAAAAAGTTCAGTTTGCATGCCAACAAAGACAAAAGTAGATATTTTAAAGAGGAAATAACATATCTTGGTCACAAAATCAGCAAGCAAGGAATTCAAAAGAGCCTGAAGAGAGCGAAAGCTATTTTTAATACCCCTAGTCCTACCAATTTAGATAAGGTCATAACATTCATTGGCTATGTTCCATATTAGGCCTATTCAAAGTTTATTCCTAATGTATCAACCACTATGTATCCAATTTACCAACGCCTTAAAAGGAAAAAAAGGACGTTCCCAGTGGACAGAAGATTGTGAGAGAGCTGCTAATTAAAATCAAGGCAGCGATTGCTAGTTTCTAGTGATATATAAATCTATATAGGTTCCCATGGTCACATTCGTCGCAATAAATACCATTTGTTTTTTTAAGCTCTTTAAAAAGGTGTGAAAAGAAAAATTGATAAATTTTGTGTTTTAACCCTCCGAGTGTCATGCGTCGCTGCAGCGACGCGTAACGCACTTTGTATAGTGTCGTGCGTCGCTGCAGCGACTCGCGAACACTGTTTACGGCAAAGGCTCTATGACTAACTGAATCGGACTGTACTGGATTGAGTTAGGTATCGTTCTGTCCGTAATATTCTAAGCTTTCTGCAGAGGTCTGTCTCTAAGCACTATTCATTTTAGTTCCGAAAATATTGTAACAGACAGCTGACTGAGCTGACGTGCGTGTATTTGTAAACAGCTAGGTTACCCTCGGACCGATGACTGATGTGTTTTATTACGTTTATCATTGTTTTAGTGTTAAAAATCAAAAGTAGTGATATACGTGGTGCATTATAAGAAGATTTAAGTGGTTTTGAAGTGCTGGTTGATGATCCTGAAGAAGTAGGTAGTAATATTGATGTAAATTATCAGCCAGATTCCTAGCTATGGTTGGGCTATGCATTCTTAGCTAAACGCTATGTACTGAAATCTGTTTTTTGCCCATAACTTTTTTATTTGCAAATCTACTTCCTTATATTATTATAGATTTGTAATCCTCATAAAATTTAGAACAAAGTGGCTATTTTCAAATATTTATAGGCCTATAATTTATACAATTTCATTGAGCGCAAACTTATTTTTTTTGAAAATTTTCGAAATTATACATTTTTTTACCTAAAAAAATTTTTTTTTTTTAAATCTTCCTTATGTTTTATATATAATATTGAAGCCCAAGATTTTCCAAACAAAATGGTATATAGAACAGTATAATTAACATTGTTTTTAAGCTTCTCAGATCAGTTTTAATAAAACCTTGCAAATGAGCAAAAAATAGGCTGACATTAAGGCCAAAACACGTGACACTCGGAGGGTTAAGGGTTAAAAATGAGAAAACCCAATTTTCACCCCATAAAAGCCCCCTTTGAACCCCGTTCCCATAGTCCGATCATGCTGCTTCGCGATCTCATTCAAGTTTATCCCGCCTTACACCTTCAAACCATTTTGTCAAAATCTGACAAAAATTACTCAAGTTATCGTCTGGATGGACACACACACATATATATCTATACTTACCACTTACCATCTTTTTTGTACATTTACCGTCTTGTGAGTAACAGTATAAGCATAAATATATGTTTTAAGTGTTAAGAAGACCTTTCTTTTATTTACTTTCCATAAATATATAACTTATATATATATATATAAAGTTGAACAATGGTGTTTTTGGCCTGTGGGGACATAAAAATGGAAAATTAAATCGGTCCCCGGGCCTATGTAAGTCTTACCATGAGACCTACGGCAACAGCTACTTCCCTATAGGGAAATTCGCTAAAACCCCAGAAAATTGGACAAAACTTGTAATGCAAGGTAATCTTGCATAAAAACACCTAGGCCTATATTATCCTTGAAGAATTCAGCCATAAAAATCGACATAACATAGGCCTAACAGTAATTGAAATTGTTCATAATAACGATTTCATACTTACTAGTCGATATTAAAATGCATGATACCAGGCATACAGTGAACGCAGTATATCTTAAATTGTGTTTCATTTTTGTAGAGAAACAAAATAATATGTGTTTAATAATATAACAAAACGTAAGTAACTGACACTACTATTGAAAGTAAACAGAAACACCAAACAGTCCAACAGCCCAACCCACTTTTACAAGGCAGACAACATCACGGGAATTAATCGAATCGTGTTTCAGGATCAGGATACTGTATAATATACATAAAAATACACGGCTAAGCTGAGAGAAAAATCTAATTTTATAACAACATTATATAGAGATATGCCGTATCTTATAAACATGTCATATAAGTGTGTTAAATATAAAGGTTCTATAAGCTTGTGCACGGCCACAATTGCTGATTGTATATGTTACACTCAATCTCCGAATTCGGACAATGTCCGAAATTTCTACCCACTCCGCGATGTGGATAGTGTGAATTACCCACGTCGCGGAGTGAGCATTTTATTTCGGACATTGGCCGAAACGAAATGCCCAGACCGCGTTGTGGGTAAACTGATTTACACAAACGCCGAAGTCAAAACCTTCTTCGGCGATTGAGCAAATTCAAAATACCCACAACGCGATGTGAGCAAGAGGGATTGCCCACGTCGGGTTGTGGGTATTTCTAGTTTGCGCAAACACCGACTGGTAGTTTATAAACTACCGTATACCCATAACTCTACATAAAATCCACAATCACTAGGTAAAATAAATAAAATTTATGTTTGTGATTATAATTATGTATAAATAGCATTTTAGAAAATACAAGAAAACAGCAAATTACCGAATGGGAACAAATACAAAAAGGTCCATTACACATACATTGAAATTATGTTTTTCCGTTTTACAAAAATAGGAGTAGCCCTCAAACGCCGATTATCACACAGTTCTAGTTACATCTTTCTTTTACTTATTGGCACAAGAGGTGCTGCCATGACATTTAGAATTGCATTTTACGTTTGACTTAATACATTTAAATGATTAACTCAAACAGTTCTTCTTGCAACCACATCTTATAAAACCTTGTTTTTTTTTTAAGAGGTGGTCGCCAATCTTTTAACCTCTGATTTGCCCGTCCACATTGGCCTCTGACGTCTTGATTGGCTCGTTCGACAGACCAAAACAATATCTCACAAGAGGTAATCACTGAACATATATTAACTTGATCACGTGCGTATCACTACAGGACAGCGACAGTAAAGAAAACACAATGCAGGTGCAGGTCTGTCCATCCTAATCGTAGATAGTGCAAATGGTGGGGATGACATGCCTAAACGTAAATTCGGCGTTTGCACAAACTAGAAATACCCACAACCCGACGTGGGCAATCCCTCTTGCTCACATCGCGTTGTGGGTATTTTAGATTTGCTCAATCGCCGAAGAACGTTATGACTTCGGCATTTGAGTAAATCAATTTACCCACAACGCGGTCTGGGCATTTCACTTTGGCCAATGTCCGAATAAAATGCTCACTCCGCGACGTGGGTATTTCACACTATCCACATCGCGGAGTGGGTACAAATTTCGGACATTGTCCGAATTCGGAGATTGAGTGTAACATATACATAATTGCTAGCAGCTATATCCGTGCCTTGCATCGGAGCGGGGTGCGGGGTCAGTATGCAAAAGAAACAATGTTGGGTCTTTGAAAATGTCTTAAAAATGGTTTCACTCCTACCATTTAATTATAAGTAACGAAATTGGACTGAATTAATTAACTTGATAATAGTACGTTTGTGTTTACTCGATTGTGAACACTTATTTAATTAGGCTACCTAGGCACTGAGCTATAATTCTAACTGGAGGTAGCCATGAATGTCAAAGATGCGTGTCCCCAGCGGCGGGCGTCGTGTTTGCGTGAGGCGGGTGTCATAAGAAGCCATGTTATTGCTATGACAAGAAAACTCACTGCTATACCAACCTAGTTATAAGAAGCATGTTATTGCTATGATAAGAAAACCCACTGCTATACCAACCTAACAAAATCAGTGACACGCTTTTGACAGACTTCTGCCATGGCAGTGCTACCTCCGGTTATAATTTTAGCTCAGTGTACCTAGGATACAAAACCAACGATAGATTTTAAAGTACGTATTATAATAGTATAATTTTCTAACATATTTTAGTGAAATCATAATCAAGCAAATTGTGGCAAAAGCTGTGGCAGGGTTCCTTCCATCATGGTTATTACTATTACTAGGTGTACGATGCGGTTGTCTGCTTGCATTATTGAGCGGAGCTGGCTTAATCCAATACTTTTCTAAAGTCAATGGTACATATGTTCCTGGTAAATGAGATTAAATACTTGCAGATCCAATACTTAAATACTTTTTCAATGAAATGGTGACCATACAAAGTAGGTATTTTAAGCCAAGTATGAATGGAGATGAGTGTAGGATGAGTGTAGGATGAGTGGTGCCATTTTGTAGTCTTTATGTTAGTGACTATAAGGTTATAAAGTTATAAGGCTGACATATTCCTTAGACCAAGTCCCCACTAGAAAACTAGTGGGGCCTTGCTTAGACACAGCTGTTAATTAATAGCTCATACAGCTAATGGCAACCAAGGGACGTTTATAGTGAAATCCGAACCCCGAACCACATTTTTGCCTTGGTATACGAATTTGCATGAACCAAGTCTATGTTTTATCTGGTTATTATATTAAATGTCTACTTGCAGTAATGTCAATGATACATTTGGTTCGCATAATGGTTACGGAGAAAATTAAAAAAAATGTAAACTTTGAATTCCCATGTTATTCTTATAAACTGTTGTAGTTTTGCTTATTTTGATCAAATTTGGAAAACACACTCATTTCTTACAAAACTATTGACATTTTACAAAAAAAAAAATCAATTTTTTACCCTCCCTGCTGCAGCAAACTTAAGTACTCGTTAAATTAGTTCTTAAATAGGGAATAAATGTGATATTTTTAAGGAGGTATTTTAGTATACTAGCTAGTCTGCAGGATTGCTGTGGCGGGGGTATTTTCTTATTTAAGAAACAATTTTGGTTTCAAACTAAAGCTTATAATGTCCTCTTTGGGCATACCAATTTTTGTCTTAACTCACGGCAGTTTTCATTTACCTAAGTGTTTTATCAAAGCTTGTCGTAAAAATCACATTTTCAGAAAAGGGAACTCTTGTCGGCCTATTTGTAAGATATTTTGTTCTCTGTAAACTGAACTTTGTTGTAGTTCTCTAAATTTCCATTAGAATGCATTAGAGTTCATTTTTCGGCCTAAAAGTCTGTTTATAAAGTGAATATTAGAAATGGGACCATCTTTTCGTTAAGGGGAAATAACTTTGAGCGACAAGAGATACCTTTTCTCAAACCGTGCAGAGTTGCAAAATGATTTATTTCAACCGTTTACATCTTCAGTTCGATATTTTAACCGATACCGTCGTTAAATGAGGTATAGTATAACCATCGAAAAAAACCCGAATTTCGATATTGCGTCGACCTTAATTACTTATATTGGCCGTACTGAAAATTTTGCATTGCCGACAAGAGGTCCCTTTTCGCTTTCCACATCACATAGATTGTCTGTACGAAATGTATGAATGGTAATACCACTTTTCATAATGTCACTTATTTTTATGGGGTGCATAGAGTAATTTTTCAATTTAAAGGTGTTTGAGGTAGGCGTGGCATGGGAACGTGAGTGACCAACCCTGGCGGTGGCGGATGTCAGTTACTTACTAAATTTAATCATTTAATGTCAACTGTCAAACGAGTAAACGAAACGACCGATATAAGAGCTGTTATTGTTTACCAAACCTATTATTTGTGTTTCATCCGTAGCCTAGCCTGACCGAAAATTAACTAACAGTTATGGCTCTCTTCAGGACTTTATCTCTTATAACAGTTGTGTCTGCGGTTTACTTTTTTCACGAAGGTGAGTTTACTAAATAAAATAATGTGTTCCTATCCTAGGCCTACTCAAAACATAGGACGTTTTGGCTAGACGTAGTTTTCCCATGATCGAGTTTTATCTCTACCTTACTTCTCTGTGTGTTTAACCTAAGAAAATCTGCACATTTAAAAGAGTGGGAGGTCTGTTCCTATCCTAGGCCTACTCAAAACATAGGCCTCTGACGTTTTGGCTAGACGTAAATTTCCCATGATCGAGTTTTATCTCTACCTTACTTCTCGGTGTGTTTAACCTAAGAAAATCTGCACATTTAAAAGAGTGGGAGGTCTGAACCTGGGTACAGTTTCTTAACTGGGCTATGCTAATATCAATTGAAACTATTGAATTGAAAATATTGAATAATAATCAATATTTTTAAATATATCTATTACTAAGTTAGCTGTAACCCGCGGGCTTTGCCCCGTTTAACTTCTTAATTTTCAAGATTATCTCGTTCGCATGGCTCAATCACGTCCTGGTTGAAGTTTGTTCGCTACGCTCACTCACCTTTAGGTTGGAGCTCGTTCGCTACACTCACTCACCTTTAGGTTGGAGCTCGTTCGCTGCGCTCACTTGCCTTCGGGTTGGCTCGTTCGCTACGCTAACTCGCCTCCAGGTTGAAGTTCGTTCGCTACGCTCACTCACCTTTTGGTTGCAAATTAGCTGTTGTCATAAATGTAAAAGAAATAATAGTGCTGCACCCTGTTGGTAATCCTTGTAACTTTATAGCCAAAGTTACTTTTTTATCCTTTGAACATCATAGAACAGAACCAACTTGTTTAATTGAAACAGCTGTTAAGATTCAATAATTCCATTTCTCATAAGGTTAACATGGGAAACTCCAGAGCCACAGGGGCGGAGCCCAAAAGGATTTTTGAAATAAGAATATGCCTATATGTTAATCGGGAATGTGAGCTATCATCATGCCAAATTTCAGCCCAATCCGGCCAGTATTTTTCGCGTTCACTTGTCACAAACATACATCCATACATCCATCCATACATCCAAACTTTCTCATTTATAATATTAGTAGGACTAGCTGTAACCCGCGGGCTTTGCCCCGTTTAACTTCTTAATTTTCAAGATAATCTCGTTCGCATGGCTCAATCACGTCCTGGTTGGAGCTCGTTCGCTACACTCACTCACCTTTAGGTTGGAGCTCGTTCGCTGCGCTCACTTGCCTTCGGGTTGGCTCGTTCGCTACGCTAACTCGCCTCCAGGTTGAAGTTCGTTCGCTACGCTCACTCACCTTTTGGTTGCAAATTAGCTGTTGTCATAAATGTAAAAGAAATAATAGTGCTGCACCCTGTTGGTAATCCTTGTAACTTTATAGCCAAAGTTACTTTTTTATCCTTTGAACATCATAGAACAGAACCAACTTGTTTAATTGAAACAGCTGTTAAGATTCAATAATTCCATTTCTCATAAGGTTAACATGGGAAACTCCAGAGCCACAGGGGCGGAGCCCAAAAGGATTTTTGAAATAAGAATATGCCTATATGTTAATAGGGAATGTGAGCTATCATCATGCCAAATTTCAGCCCAATCCGGCCAGTATTTTTCGCGTTCACTTGTCACAAACATACATCCATACATCCATCCATACATCCAAACTTTCTCATTTATAATATTAGTAGGACTAGCTGTAACCCGCGGGCTTTGCCCCGTTTAACTTCTTAATTTTCAAGATAATCTCGTTCGCATGGCTCAATCACGTCCTGGTTGAAGTTTGTTTGCTACGCTCACTCACCCTTTAGGTTGGACCACCTTTAGGTTGGAGATTAGCATAGCCCAGTTAAGAAACTGTACCCCTGAACTCATTTCGAATAGACCAATAGGCAATAATTAGGCTAACTGAAAATAACTTGTGTGAACCTGGCAATAACTTGGCAATAAGTAGTGCACGCGCCCGCTAAAATCTATTGCTGGCCGTTTTGTGGAAAAATACGTCCGCGAGCCATATTACCGATGATGCCAACAGATAGAGGACACTTTAACGGGTACCCGACAGTATCAACATCATGTACCTGGGGGATTTGTTATGGGGGGTAAAACCAGCAATAAGTAGTGCGCGTGCCCGATAAAATCTATTGCGGATAACACGTCCGCGAGCAATATTAATGATGATGCCAACAGATAGAGGACACTTTAACGGACACCACAGTATCAACATCATGTACCTGGGGGATTTTTTATGGGGGGTAAAACCAGCAATAAGTTGTGCACGCGCCCGATAAAATCTATTGCTGGCCGTATTGGGGAAAAATACGTCCGCGAGCAATATTACCGATGATGCCAACAGATAGAGGACACTTTAACGGACACGACAGTATCAACATCATGTACCTGGGGGATTTGTTATGGGGAGTAAAACCAGCAATAAGTTGTGCGCGTGCCCGATAAAATCTATTGCCTACCTTATTGCAGAAAAATACATCCGCGAGCAATATTACCGATGATGCCAACAGATAGAGGACACTTTAACGGACACGACAGTATCAACATAATGTACCTGGGGGATTTGTTATGGGGGGTAAAATCAGCAATAAGTTGTGCGCGTGCCCGATAAAATCTATTGCCTGCCGTATTGCAGAAAAATACGTCCGCGAGCAATGTTACCGATGATGCCAACAGATAGAGGACACTTTAACGGACATGACAGTATCAACATAATGTACCTGGGGGATTTTTTATGGGGGGTAAAACCAGCATTAAGAAGTGTGCGCGCCAGATAAAATTTATTGCTGGCCGTATTGCGGAAAAATACGTCCGCGAGCAATATTAACGATGATGCCAACAGATAGAGGACACTTCAACGGACACAACAGCATCAACATAATGTACCTGGGGTTTTCGCGAGCAATATTACCGATGATGCCAACAGATAGAGGACACTTTAACGGACACAACAGTATCAACATAATGTACCTGGGGGTTTTGTTATGGTGGGGAAAACCAGTAATAAGTAGTTGCGGTGCGGGCGCCCGATAAAATCTATTGCTGGCCGTATTGCGGAAAAATACGTCCGCGAGCAATATTACCGATGATGCCAATAGATAGAGGACACTAACGGACATGACAGTATCAACATAATGTACCTAATTTTAATGTGCAATTAATTTTTAAGTAGGCCTATTATTAATAATAATACTAATGTGTAATTTTATTTAAGCCTAAGAGGATATTCCGCTGCAATCATCACAAAGTTAATACAGTAGAGGTTTCCTGCTAAAAATGGGAGCCCTTCGGCTAACATTCTCGTTCACCGTTTGTAGGAATCATCTTGTGGGAATTCTTTATTATAGGCTAATAACCTTAAAAAAACTGCCCATTTCTTCTAATTGGTGGCGTTCTATGACTTTTCTATGTTTCCATAGTTTGAAAATCCGTTCTTTCAAGAATTGCTCAAGAAATACAACAGCATTGTGTCAATTCATTTTTCTTATTTGGTGAAATGTATCAAATTGTGTAGCTTAGGCTTTCTCGATTTTTTCCCAATTTTAAATAGTAAATATTTAATTTCCACCAAATCAGTAAATCTTTACATTGAATTGCAAAAATAAATATTATGAGTAATTGAATTATCCAGCTGATAATAATGTAAACAAGGATGTTGACGTTTTGACAGAAGACGACAGTTATAACAACAACAATTTGACGAGTGCAGTTTGAATGTTCCGTGTTCCGTTCTGATACCAATTCTGCTGTCCCGGGCGCGGTGGTGGGGGGTCTGGGTCCTCCATGGACGGTCTCGTTTGCTCAATCACCGAATAATGTTTTAACTTCGGCATTTGAGTAAATCAGTTTACCCACAACGTCTGGGCATTTCGCTTCGGCCAATGTCTGAATAAAATGCTTACTCCACGACGTGGGTATTTCACACTGTCCAGATCGCGTAGTGGGTATTTGGACAATGTGCAAATTAGAAGTTTGAGTGTAACATATATACCGTACAATATTTACCATTATTGTAAATTGCTTGGATCATCTTTAAAAATATGACAGACAAATGGTAGCCTGCTCTTTGCAACAAACATTGTGAGGGAATTCCTATCGCACAGGGTTAATTTACTTTACTTAAGTTAACTATAACTCTGTAATTAAAGCAATTATTACTGAGACCGAGAGTCACTTTCATGTTTGCATTATTTACTTTTTAATGTAATTTAATTTATGTTATCGTTATTATTAATTTACTTAAAAAAGCAAGCATTCAAGTTTTTCTCTGGAACTGAACTTTTTGGTACTCTTTTCAATATGGATAGCCTTTGGATTACCAATAGGCTTTAGCCTATTGTATATATAGGGTATATATAGGGTTTAGATATTTGTGTTTTTACCAATTATATTTTTTGTAGCTAATATTTTTAAAATTTCATTACCGGTACCGCTTAAATTATTTGACGGCTAAATAAAGGCGGAATCGGGGATAAAGGTCCCCAATATCTATAACAATCTGTTTAAATTTAGTAAGGATTAGGTTTAGCTTTATCTAGGACAAATATTAGGCTATTTACAATAATACAAACACATTCAACAACATTATAATTGGTTTCTCACTGAGATTGTTTACCAGGCCCTATGAGCTCAAAATATTTGCTTTCTTTCAGGATTTGGTATTAAATGCTGGGTTTGTCGATCAGACTCCGATCCTAAGTGTGGGGATCCATTTGATAACTCTTCAGTACCCATCATAGATTGTAAACAAGAGAAAGATCTTGAGCATATTCCAGGAGTTCGCCCTACTATGTGCAGGAAAATTCGACAAAAAGGTATGTTGGCTCAATGTTTATACAGGGTGAAACGACATGATTCTAACTCCATCTGATTGGGGTTGTGGGGTTATGAGAGTACTGGTTTAAAAGCACAAGTGGAAGTTTCAATAGACAAGGAGAGTTGGACCAGTGTTCCTGATAATTCTATAAAGTAGCCTATGTACGGTTGGGGAGGGATCAGTTAAGTTTCTATTAACCAGGCTGTATGCTAGTCCAGTAGTCTTGCAGTCTGAGATATTGATTTTTAAGTATAGGTCTATTGAAACTGTCATGCCACTGTGTATCTAAACCGTCCAATCAGTTGTGTCGTTTTGCATCCGAGTAATTTTTGTAACCATTATGATTGAGAAAGGTTATGTCATGATTATCTAACCAAACCTCACTCCGCGATCGCTAAATATGTACTCTATTTTTATTTATTTCCAAACTTCTCTCTTAGTCATCCACTAGCAGGCAGTTTCACCTGGCACTAGAGATTACAGCATTGAGCCGGATTTGTAAATTTTGAAATTTCATAAATAGTTGATACCTTGATTGAAGTTTTCAAATATGACAACTTATGAACTATGTCAATTAGTTGACCTATATTTCAGTGAATGGAGAGTGGCGATACTTCAGAAGTTGCGCTTATCTTGGAGAGCCTGGGATACAGGGGGACGAGCGCTTCTGTTTGATGCGCACAGGCACCTACAACATCTGGATGGAGTACTGCACCTGTAATACTAAAGACGGCTGCAACACAGGTTCATTGACAGCTCTCTCTTCTCTCGCAGCATTTGTTTTTGTACTCGTTACATTATTTAGGTAGGCCTAAGCAATAGAAAGTTACAATCTAATACAAGTCTGATTGTTGGCTTACGAGGTTGAACAAGTTAGGTTTCTTAAGTCTCAAAAGTAATAAGTAGTGATGGGCTGATTCCAGAATTGGTTGATTCCAAACCCGATTCTAGAACATTGGTTTTGATTCTCAATTTCGCACCTAATACTGATACCTTTATAAATACATTTAAAAAAACATAAGTACTTCTCTATATCCCTACAAATAAAGGAGCATGTTATTGATATTTAATCTTTAAGAGTCCTTGTAGGCTAGGGGCCATCTTGGATAATTTCCAACAGCTGGTGAAGAGTTATCGCTTAAAAATATTTTTCAAACACCAAATTAATTATTATTTAAATATCTAGTACACTGTAAGATTAGAAAAGTTTTGAATTGTTCTCCAAGGGAGTCCATGGAAGCTAACGGCCATCTTGGATTTGCCCGCCATAAGAGCAATGTTAATTTTTAGTTAATTTCAAATAGTCGCTGTAGAGTTATTTACCATCTCAAAATATATTTTCTTTCAAACACCAGTGTCATTTTGAAGTAAATATCTCTGAGTACACTGTAAGATTATACACTTTCTTTATAGTTTTATAATTGTTTGACGACTTAGAACGTCTAAGCTCCAAGGACTCTAAATTTGTACAATAAGATTTAACTGCATTGTTAAAATTACATCTAGATTAGGTTAGCCTATAAGGAAAATAAGATAACTTCATAAAGACACGCATCATATTTTATTGAATTGAAACAACAAACACCGGTTTAGGTTAATCAATATCACTTAAATTACTTAAAGAATCACAAAGGAGTTCGTCACATCAGTCAAACGGAGATCATAACTCATTTTTTAACAATTCACTATTCACGCGTACAGCAATCAACAACATCCCCATTCCCAAACTCACGATAACTGCTTCAGTTCAATCAGAGAGAAACAACATATAACGATAAGAATACATGACTAAACGAGCACCGTGTGATTGACCACGCAACTTAGTGCCTACAAACTCGCCCGATTTGGGCAGGTGACACTTATACACATCAGAAAACCCAACCAATATGGGGTTGGCGACACTTAGAGGGTTAAAGGAACAACCATTGATTGTATTTACTCACAAAGTGTGTTTTTAGTCAATGATATAGGTAAATTTATCTGCTCATGAAATGTACACATCAAACCTATCACAAGTTAGAAACACAAGTTAAACTAGTACCATTGACCATATACTGTACACTTTGTGTGAATTATATTATATATTCAATGCTTGTGGCAACATTGCTCTCGATCTGACAACATGGTTACAAGTGATAAGTCCCTATCATTTAACTTTGTTCTACTAGTTGTTAGTTGATCACGCGATTTGTTGTGAAATGCAAAGGCATACTATTTTTTATTATAAAACGAATGTGAGCTAATGAACATGGAATTATTTATTAGCTGACTTCAGAGTATTCCAAATTAACTATGATGTACCACTCTTTACAACCGTCAATGTTAGTTGAGTTTTGCATCATGATTAACCTTCTTTTTTAGAATCGGTATCAAGTACAATGAAGCAAAGTTCGAGTATCAGGGATTCTTTGATACTGCTGGTGTAGGAGGTATCGAGAACTGGAATAACGCCCATCCCTAGTAATTAGGTTATATCTGATTTGATTTCAATTGATTTTTTTTTCAATTTTGATTCCAATTTTTTTGTATATACGGAGGCTAGTTTAAAATCAGGACACTTAAAATGTGGTTGATTGATTGATTCATTGATTGTCCCTTAGTTGCCATTAGCTGTATGGGCTATTAATTAACAGCTGTGTCTAAGGAATGTCGGCCTTAGTCACTAACAAGACTACAAGATTGCGCCACTCATCCTACACTCATCTCCATTCATACTTGGCTTAAAATACCTACTATGTATGGTCGCCATTTCATAAAAAAGTATTTAAAGTACTTATTGGTTTTACATTTGCTTTCATGAAACATTTTTCCAAAGTTTTGACCAATTTTAGAATAAAAATGTACGTAGTTGAGTCACCGGCAGAGTGCTCTGGATGTAAATTACTTATTTCCATCATATACGCAATACCAATAATTAAATCAAGCCGAACTGCAAGGGTAACTGATGGTAAACGAATGCGTCTTGTGCTTGTGTAAATTACATCTACTATCACAGTAACAACTAAGGGAAAACTATAAATAAAATCTAACTTAGAACTTAGACTGCAGCCCAACTTGTGAGTGACTGATGCAACTAGATGTTCTTGATAATAAAATAGCTACAGGTGGTCTACATAGATCTGATGTCTCCATCTACCTGTATCCAAAATTTAATGATAATACCTACCTAACTCATCAACAATTAGTAAGTATATGTGGTTAATTTGAAGTATATTTTATTCATGAATCTCTCTTGAAAAAGCAGCTATCCCTTGATATTTTTTCTATTATTAATTATTTTGCAAAGAACAAAGTGTGTTCATGTTTAATATCATAGGTGTTAGTATTTATTGATAGATATTTAGTGGATTTCAGATCAACTTAGCTTTGGATGTTTAGTCAGTCCAATATAGCAAATCATTGTATTAATATGCTTATGTCAATAATAAGCAGCAATCAATTAGCTGCTATATTATTAAACATTCCGCCCAATCTGTATTTAATCTGTGAGATACTTAAAGATATTATAAATGTTATTTAACTTTATTTTACTAAGCTTTTATGAATGCACAAGTACAAACAGTTTGCCTTATCAGCCAAAAATAATGTCTGCGTTTTGTACAGTTACTTTTATTCCATAGTTAACTGAAGCCATGTTATATGTTGTGCTTATTGCTGTAAAATGTAGTTTATAGTCAATTTATTGTTAGTATTAATTATAAAACCATGTTTATGGCAACAAGTTTTGATCGTGTTAAGTAATTAGACTTTAAACAATATAATTTATACTGATTAACTGTTTTCCACTTTAACACGTTAAGTGCGGTCGCGGGATGGCCGGCCGCGGAAACTGTAAATGTGCTGTGTGGTTGAGTCCACAAAAACATTTTAATTTATTAGTTTCATCCAAATGAGAGGTATATTATAGCATGTACTGTCAGTTGTTGTGGACCTAGTTTTACAAGAACGCAATAGATAGCAGTACTAAACAAAACTGCTAGCAGGCTCTCAGTATTGCCAAATGGAGGGAAAAAGCAGGGGCAAAAAACCCAGATACACCATAAACAAATATAGAAAAAAAGGCGTTAAGTACAATTTTGAGGTTAGGTTCCTTCCACAATGCTTCACTACAGTAACTCAATTTCAATTTCAGCTATTCAATTTTTTTTAGGATTTGTTTATTATCCTATTCCACTTCTCTAAATCCAAGCCAAAACCACATACTACATTAAATTTTGAGTGGTCTCCTTCACTGATAAAATAGTCGGATCTGGAAACGAATCATACTGATTGAAGTATAAAGTTGGCACAATAATCGGCAATCGGACACAACATTCCCCAGGCAAGGCTGAGCTCAGACTGAAGCAAGGTTGTTGGCATTTGAGGAGTATGACACTTCCTGCCCTGTCTCAGTGGTGCCAGTACCGCGAACCGGTGAGAATTCCTGCACTGCATGCTTAACGTGTTAAACATTATTTCCTGTTAATGTTAAAGGTTGAATTTACCTTACGTATGCTTCTACATTTTTGCATTTAAAGAAAAACTCACTCTCTGAAATTCGCTTGTAATTAGCAATATTAACATCCATCTAAGTCATTAATAACACTTCTAAAGTACTGATAAATCCAAACAAACTACTGTACAATCCTAAACTGTTCAAAGAAGCAATGAATACTTTCTTATAAACAATGAATAACGAGGGACAGAAGGTTGAACGTCATTAATGAGCCAAGCAGTTGTTTTGAATTTGTTTTTGGTGAGCGAGAATTGAAAATAACTTATAATACCTGAGATTTGTTTAAATCAACCTTTAAACACGATTGGTAAACTAGAGAAGCATATGCAAGCTAAGGAATACATATTTAACAATGCTGTAAATGTTACCAGAAGTATAATGGTTGGTACCTAAGACTCTTATCTCATGGAATGTCATAATTTTTTTCTAAAACAGTTCTACTATTTATACACAGATTTGTGTTTAGAGCTACAAATATTTCTCACAGTGCCTTTATTACCTAAATTGTTCCGAACTAAGAATTTCAATTTAGAGTGAGATTTTTCAACAGAATGTACATTTTTTCCCATTTGTGATAGAACTAGCTTTTATTCTGGAGTTTTAAGAAATCCAATCCACATTATTGTAAAACACATTGATGACAATCTAGCAAATTTATGTCTTTTTATCTTTGTAATTAATTATATAGATACAGAATATAAGCTTTAGAAATACTTACAAAATGAAGTATCCTAGGCACTGTATTTTTGCACAAGTTTTTCCACAAAAATATACTTAATCAATTGTTCATTCTTATTCATTAGTGTTATGTTATCCAGCCGTAGTGTAAATTTTATTGTTAAAACTTCATCATCAGCAAGGTAATAAGTGTATCAGGTAGGCTAGTTACAAGGTTGTGTTAACTATGCACAATTTTGAATACTGAAATAGTCTAGCGTATAGTAGAGACAGTGAAATTAATATCTGGGGCCAAATATGCAAATAATCCGTCCACATCACACACAAGTCAGTATATATATTGATTGTTTTTATTGACGAGAGTTATATAAATAGTTAATCAAAATATCGATTTTACATTATGTTAGATAGGCCTGCCTTGAAATAGTGTTTAAATTTACTTCAATTTTAAGGAACTAGATTTCACTGTGAAGTGACTTCAATAAAGTTAAAGTTAAGTTTTGCCAATTAATATTATAACTAAATTTATAAGGATCATAGTGGTGCACTACTATACACAGTAGTGGTGCATTGAGATACTCACTTAACTCAAATGTAATAGAAAACGTAACATGAGTACTACCTGTCGTCAACATTATCCATTTTAATGGTGGAAAGCCATGCTTAAAATTGTTGAAAAAATAAGACAGCATTCTATTAGTTATTATAGTTTTTACTTTATAGTTTTACTTTATAGTTATCATATCAAATGTCATTGTATAAACAATAAAGTTTGTGTTAACTGTCCATGTGAATAAATGTATGTTCTTTTTTACTTATTTTTAAAGAGTAGTGTCATTGACTATACACAGAATAGTGTATAGTCAATGGTAGTGTTTAATCTGTCATGTTATTATATTAGTATGTGTAATTTTTAGTTGTTTATTAGCAACATTTATTGTAAGACTTTGCCTTTTTGCAAGTTAATTCTGTGCCTTTTGATAACATTATATAACATTTTTAGACTGCATTTGATAAGTTATGTTGTATATTGATAGTTGTGATTATATTGTAAAATATGTGTACAGAATGTCAAATTTGTGTTTGTAATTTTAAAATAAAGTAAAACATTTTTACTGCACAATTTGTTTGTCTTGGAGTTCTAGTACTTATTTGATAAATTTGAATTCAAAAAATATTTGTTTGGGATTGAAAAGCATTTTTTAGCTTTGAGTATGGTAAATTTTCCAGTCAGTTTTGCAAAAGGCTAAAACACTGCTAAAAGCTGTCATCAAAGCTACGTCTCCCTCAGATTCACCCACCGCAACATTGCTAATATTTCATTAATTTAGTTTAAACTGAATCACTGATTGACTACTCTTTAACTTGACCGTGTAGGTTATTTACAAATTATTTTAGTATACAATAATCTAAACACAAGTCCTTCCCAGGCTGAGGCTCTCAACAGCTGTGTCCACCGTTAGGGGAATAAGGCCCTGATTTGTGGGTCTATGTTGGTGTGGGGCCTGGGGTGGACGCCCCCCCTTGGTATGCCACTGACCATAACCAAGCTATAGGCTACTTGCCAACTTGCACAAAAGGCAAATGTGACTGTAGACAAAATACCAAGACTGAAAAAGGCTAATGATAAAAAAAAAACAAAGCTTATATTTAACTACTCCTGGCATGAGCAGAATCGTTCTAAAACTCATTGTAAAATAAGTGAAGGATTTGTGGCGAAATGCGGTAGGACGGATGTTTATTAGGATACCTGGGCCCAATCTTGCTGCCCATCCACTGCTAAATCACACACATTTCAAGTTGCTACTCGAACCTTTTTTAAGCAAACGTAATAACATCGTCAAAGTGCACAATAATACCTTAGCTGCCTATTACAGCCAGCTTTTATGTTTAATTACTTTTTATTTAATAAATAGCGAACAGAGATTTAACTAGATATTTGGACTAATAGAATTATATATCTACAAGTATCTAGAATTTGAATATGAAACATTGTGAATTAGACCACAACCAACTTGGCAACCTAATTACATAATTAATCAAATTCTCATTGCCCTAGTCTACACCCTTTCCCAACCCCTATAACTGTATCTACTCATTCTAATAATACTCATCGATACAGAGACGCCAATCCCAGGGGTGCTTCCACTAGACTGCTGACTACTCGTGGTGCGTTCTTTCGGCGAATTTTGGTGTGCGCGCACATATAACTAAAGGCCTGGTTCCACAGGATGCGGAATCTCCGCCGTGCGGTGCGATTTTTTCCGCTGCGGAATTAAAACGTTACTGGTTTAATGGAGTTCCCATGTATGCGGTTCCACTGACTTGCGATTCCGCATCCCGAAATTTCCGTTCCGCATGGCGGAGAAATCATACTGGTCTGAGAGCAGTAGAAGTGCGGATTCCGCGAGCGGAGAAGAGCCATCAAATATTGTGACCGTGCAGTTTCATTGACTTGTGCTGTAAAAAGAGTTATAGATGAACGATTATAAAGTAACACCTATAATCGCAACACCGATTTTCAACAAACTTACTGTTAAAATAAATTATTATAATACATTTAACATAAACTGTCGAAAATGGTAGACCTGACGAACAATTATCCTGAGATGTTTGGGTATCAAGTGTTAAACGGGATCTCGTGATTGAAACGCCTTAAATTTTGTTAAATAAATAGCAAAAGGCCCCTTCACTGTCTCGATTCTTAAATATGTCACTTCAATCACTGTGACTTGACGCTAACAAAGATAAAAGATCGACAACATCATCATCAATGGCATCATATAGCATCAAAGCCAAAAGGGCTTTCCTCTTTCTATCCATACTCGTCGCTAGTTTGGACAGAACTGAATATCCGCAACGTTATTTTCACAGTCTGTAGAACCACCCCTCTAGATTTTTCGCTGCGTAATTTTCCGTTGTGAAAAATTATGCACCGCATGGCGGAGATTCCGCATCCTGTGGAACCATAGCTCTCTGACTGTCTCGAGTCGTCTCGGTGATTTCACACCTGTACGAGTGCTCCGCTTGTTGTAGTAGTGACGCTACAGATTTGATTTGTTAGCCTCGAGATCACGCTTAAATGATGAAATTCACAATTTTTCTGTTGATTTGATTTACCCACTTGTCTCTTTTTGTCAAACAATACAATAATACCACCTGATATCACTACTGCTGCTGCTGGAATCATCAAACCAAGATAACTGCATGAAAATCCAGATTCACACCACGGGACAGTCGAAGCTGATATCTTTCAATATATTGACGGTAATAACAATAAACGTGGCCGCTATAGCATCCGCGGCTGTGTGAATTGGCGCATTGCTAAGGCTTGCATGGCTTTTATCCAGCCATGCACACCTCGTGGAGTTGGGAAAGGCCTTTTGTGAAATGTCAATAGATTGTTCCACTGGGACTAAGATGTGATTTGATCCCTTGATCTAAATCCGTCTGCTGGACAGAGAGACAACACTTGTCCTTTAATCAGACATAACAATCTACTGCGCAGTAATTACTTGTAAACCTTTCATCTTAGAAATGTGAACCTTCTCTCCTTGGTTACAGCATGTGTCAGGTTGGCACAGGTACAGTATTCAGCTGCTCTTATAGTCGAGTAATGCTCACAAAAAACAATTGTAGGTAAAGGTTTTGGATTCCAGAATCTCAGAATAGTAAATCTAAGGTAAATGATGTGTTTAAATTGAAATGGATTTGTTTATAAGTCCAACATTAAAATTGAGATTAACATTACAGTACAACATTAACATTTCGCATTGATTCATGCACTTCCAGCTTGCATAATCCTTCAAATGTTAGGATAGTTCCAGTTTTAACAATAAGCAAATCTGAAGACGTACTTGTAATTTTCATCCTTATATATTTTTCAGAACAGTACCAATTAAATAGGTACATACATTGGTTTTCAGCTCATTGTAAATTCACAACAGGTTTCTCCGCTTCTTCAACCACCTTAAGACTATTATTTTAATTGCGTTCTATTGTGTTGCCTTTTTTGTACAAATAAATGTATATCTTTTTATAAAAAAGCATGCCTAGCTTAAAATTATTGTCAGTAGTTTTATGACGAGATAAATATAAATTTTTAAATCTCTTATAATCTTTATAAAACTTTTAACCATGCAATTTCTTATGATCTATGTATCATTTAGCATTTAGTTTGTCCCGACACCGGACAAACTAACCCCGTGTGCATTGCCAAAGCTTTCAACTTATCCAGTAAAATTGTGAAACTGATGTCAAGAAGGTTTCTATCTTCTTCCTGTTTCAATATAGACACAAGATGCTGTGCTTCATTCTTTTAAAGCTTACATGTTAAACTCATAAGAATTATTTCATTGATTGGATGCTATAAAAACAGTAAGATAATTTATTACAAGATTTAAATTTTCTTTTATAATATTGTAAATGATTTGAATTTTACTCAACCACTAACCTTATAAAAATAAATTAAATAGATTATATTTTAGCGGAGTAGGCACTCTTGCTTTATAGTTTTTTATAAAATAAAGTATGGACTTGCACATTAAAGTATCAATTCTATTTAGTGGAACTATAGTACATTTAATGTAGATGAATATTATTAGCACAAAAGAAAAGACAACTTTATTACAAATTTACAAACCATAATTTCATTTTGCATAAGTTTATCCTCCAAACATGATATAAAGAAATAAATAATACCAAAATGCATTTATACTTATCACTAACATATATACAAAGGACGGAATACTGATATAAGGTTTTGTCAAAATTACAATTTGAATGTTATAAGCTTAATTTATTTACAAAGCTCAAAACTCATATTTGGTTAAAAAATATGTTATCATTAGACAAAAAACAAATATTAATATAAATCATCTTTGAGTTGAATCAAGTTGATGATAAATACATTATTTTAACTTATACTCTTCTATTTAACTGTAAATGTGTTTCTTTGATGATAAATCATACATATTATATGGTAGAATTCTAAATCAACTAACTTAAGCTATCTTACATATTGTTTGAAAATAAAAAAAAAAATAGCATAATCGCTTATTTAATATAAAGCTTTATGAAAACGCATTACAAGTAAATTCTTTTTTTACTATTAAAATGTATTTGGTAGTGAAAGCAGATGTTTCAGTGTCAATTTTCATACAAATGTACATTGTATTTACATGTGTAACAAACATTTACAGATAAAATGTAACTTAATATTTAACCGGATACCTGTCCCTTAAATGTATACTATTATGCAAACTAAAAATCTTAAACTCAAACTTGAATGTCACCATCAAAATCTTTCCGTTACCTGGGGGGGAATGGATACAAAATTTTTACTTCATAAACTCTTGTAAATTTAATATTTAACATCTACTGCATGTCGTAAAATATCATCACAATAAATAATGTTATGTAAAGTAAATAATTATAAAAGAAGCATGAATTAAACCAAATCTTGCTTGAAAAAAATCTTTTGGTACATTCTTTTATCAATTGAAGTAATTAAAGTGTATTTTTAAATTTTTTTTCTACAGTATACACTTTCTTTATATAGGTTCATTGCAAACGCTGGGCCATCTATAAGGCTGCGGCCACACGAGCGTTTTTTCACGCACAAACGCAGCGTGAAAACACGCGAAAAATTAAAGTAGCATTGAAACAAATGGGCGCCCGCTACTGCGGGAAAACACATTGCGTGTGGCATACCTCATTTCATTTAATGCTGCTCATATTACTTGCGTTTTTTCACGCTGCGTTCTTGTGTGAAAAAACGCCTGTGTGGCCGTAGCCTTAATATTTACTTAAATAATTGTATATCAAAAAGTTAATTTAATTTCATCCAAAACATGAAAAAAGAGTTATATATTAAATTTAACGCCTAAATTATTACAATCTCTGTGATATATTGCAGTTATTTTTGGGTGGTTTGTTCCATTAAAGTTTTATTGTAACTGGATTGCTCCCAAAATGTTATTTATCAAATAAAAATATTGAAACCATCAACTGGTAGGTCCGGTGTTAAAAGACAGTAACAGTAAGAATGAACACCATCATGGTAAAACATTGCATTGAAAAAAAATTAATAAAACATTAGAAAATAAATTGAGATGTTGGAAACAGAAATATGATCTATGATTGGAATATTAAAAAATAAATAATCAAAATTTGTTTTGACAGTCCCTTGAAGTTTTACGTTATTAATAAAATTATTTTTGAATAGAAAAGGGTGCAAAACCTCACATTGGAACTTTAACATGGATCATCAGTATTCCACAGATACTCTCAGTTGAAAGCAATCCAGTTCTTATACAGTATCTAAAGATGGTAACAATGATCTTCAGTTGTCAGCAGTCAGATATCTACTGACGGAGATTGCTGCGAAGAGAGGAAGAAGACCGTGCATTGCTGCAGAGATTGATAGAGAATCTGCGGAGTTACAAGAGTCTGTGTTACAGGTGCTGCAGTATTCGACCTTGACAAAACAAATTACAATTTTACCTATTGCTGTTACATATATTTTTTAAAGTTGGATTTTAGTTAACCGATCAACAAAGTGAAGCAACATAAATATACGAGTATATTTATTTCACATCTATATTGTACTTGTAAGGGTTTTCACGGATTATATACATAAAATAGGCAAATCATATGAAAGAGTTATACATTACTGATGATTCTATTGTAAAGGTTAAAAAGCCAGTTATATTATGTGTGTCCCAGGGGCGTCACACAAAACATATTGGTGGGGGAGACACTTGGTATTTCCCAATTTATTGTACACGGATTTCCCAACTATATTTCACGAATTTCCCAACTCTTTATTATAAGGATTACCCAACTTGATTTGGTACCGTTCTCAAATTTCTCAACTATATTACAAGGATTTCCCAACTAATTAATATAAAGTTTTAACAGTAAGAAGGCTATTTTACCTTTAAATTATCTTTTTAGCTACATACACCAATATAACAAGATGTGAAGGTTTCTCCCACATTATTGAGTTGACTGTCAATCTTCATTTTTGATTGTGTCTGAAGTGTCTCAACAAATGTTAACAATGTAGGTCTACTGATCAATAATACATTGAGTTTATATCCTTTTAATTTTTTGTTTATAAAAACTCAGGGGATACAGTAACGTGCAGCTCAGAAAGAAACTTCCCTTAAAACCTTGAATTAATGTAGCCTATACTACAGGTACGGTACATACTATACTATAGTTACTCAACATACTGTATGAAAATTCCAACAATTTTACTTAAATTTTTAGTCTACCTAAGGATTAAGGGTAGATGTCTGCTTGGTTAGAGAATAAATCTTTGTAAAACCTAGAGCGTAAATGAGCTATGCACTGAATACAGGTATGGCAATGTAATCATTTGCATGCAGTGGTAGGAAAATATATGTTTTGCCAAAGTGCAGTAAAAACAGCTGTTTTAATACATACATGGTGAGTCTAAGTGACCCTTTTACTCCCTAGGGAGTAATGAGCCTTTTTAGTACCTAGGGAGTAAAATCACAAATTTATACAGTAGACCTTTCTAGTTCCACAGACACCGGTTGACAAGGTTGAATCAGCTTCCTTCTGGCTGTTTGGCTAGCAACTATTACCTCCCATCCCATCTATATTTTACCTTAGCGTATGAGCTGACGGAATTTTCTGAGCAAGGTCCACTGCCATAGTCGTCCGTCTCCCAGGTACAAGAGCGAACCGTGATCAGTTCATTGTTTACTGAAACATGTCAGTTGGTTTAAAACATTTTTGATATAAGGTTGTGTAAATAAATTATTATTTGGTACTTAATTACGTAAACAATATTGATTTTCGAATCTCCTTTGCTCCATATTGATTTTGATTTTAGCACAAAGAGAGCATTATGAGATGGAGTATAAAGATGTAGCTTTATACTCGATCTCATAGTGAAAATACCCTTCATGTAATTTTTTTATTCAAGTAAAGATGTTGATACATCTTATTTTAACCAACATATTGAACTTATTGATATCTTTTTTTATAACAGCCTCTAAGCAGTGACTCATACAGGTTGGTGTGGAAGTCTAAGAAAGGTCAAAACACTGTAAGAATAGCCTAATTACCACTCCCTCATGACAACCCAGTGTTCAATGGTCCGACTTTTATTCTATCCAGAGCACTATAATGTAAAGGAATGGACATTCAGGTTTGGAAGTATCTGATCTTTAAAAGGTTTTCTTGCTTTAAGTATTGGTATTAGTATTCGAAAGACAGTTTAATTTTCTATATTTTCAGTGATGATAGAATATTTTATCATTACCTAAAATTAAGGCCAATTCTAAAATGCAGGTAGCCTATTTAAAGTGCTAGTTTGTTTCATTTTCTGCAAGGATAACTATCTGATCATTGTATATTTTTTTGTTATGTAGGTTTGTATTTAGGAGAATTTTTGAATCTCTGTACTACAAAAAATTAATATAGTTTACCGTATACATTGTTTCCTTCTTTAAAAGTCTTAAAATTATTATAAATGTGGTACAAGTGTTGGCAAATAAGAAACAAAGTAAAACAAAAATGTTAACGTAAAGTTTGTTTTCAACCCTAACGAATATGCCTATAATATATTCTTTAGAGTGAAATGCAAATTTGTCAAAGTGTTACTTGTAAGGTTGAAAGCAAAGTAAATTAACATTGTAAAATATGTTTTTGTTCTTGTAGTGGGACAGCATTGGAAAATGAAAAATGGTAATATTCTGTGGTTCATGACATGTCAAATGGTTACTGAGCCAAGAAGAGGCACCCAAGGTTACGTTAAGGTTAACACAACCTTCAAGGTATAAGTTGTTTAACAAGTTGAGTTGTGGTTGAAACTTTTCTTCCAACTCTCTTAAATAAAATTAATAATAGGTACCCACACTTTAACTGTACTATTTACTCAGCCATTGGATATATTGATATATATTATATTGGTGTTGAATTTAGTAAATTTGATTTAAATTTTTGTATTACAGTAGTATGTCATCTTGTAATTCTTTTTGTAACCTAGTACCAAAAAGACTTTGAAACCTGATTTAAAAGTAAAGCCTCAAATACTATACATACAAAAAAAAATACTTTCATATTTTAGTTATTTTTATTTTATGAGGCCTTTTGCCATTTATGTTAGCATTGCCAGACACATAACAAAAACTGCGGAAGGTTTTGTGCCGTGTTTGACGATGGGGAAAGGCCTCATAAAATACAAATTACTAAAATATTGGTGTAGTATTTTTTTTATGTATTGCAAATATTACCAGTTTTTAATTTAAGACACAAATTGTATATTAAATCATTATATACTTTGGCAGCCCAAACTTGATTGAGAATCCTTACTTGAATTAAGTTGTTATGAATCTTCTTTGAAATCTTGCTGAGTTAAGGGTTTTTATCCCTACCAACAAAACAATAATTAAATTTCCGGTATTACAACAAAGTTAGGTATTCTTTTCTCAGTCCCAAATGATCAGCTGACCAGAGCACATCCAAATTTTACTTGATTCTTATGTTATCCACGCCTACTTCTGAAAACCCCTAATTTCCCCATTATATTCAAACTTTAATCTGTTAAACATTCTCCTCACCTCTCTGTTTTGTCTTCTTGCACATGGCGATGGACTGCAGGTAGGGGCTCTGGGCTCTCTCCCTGTCACAGTCTATCACTGCCAGATGGGTCATGTTGAAGGGGTCTCCACATCGACGGTCCACGTCTGAAGAACACACCCAGCATCTGATGCTCTCTCCTGGCAAAAGTTAAGATTGGTATGAAGTTACAACTAATTTTAATGTATCAAAGAGCCAGTATACTTATGCATTTGAACCCCCAACATCAAGTCACCATACACCTACTGTGGATGTGTGGTGTTTTTAACACTTCATGTAGAAATTAGATACATTTTATGCAAGTAAGTCAGTGGGACTGGAGTGATTAAATAGTGCAGGTGGTCACTAATCACTCCATTGAGATAAAATGGGTTGAAACTGCTTCAGCTTGTCTAGTTATTTGGATCCTGGGGGAACTTTGTAGGGATGTAAAAAAAACAAAAAGTTTAGTCGTGAAATAGTTATTTGTGTAACTAGTGGGTGAAGTAGCACTTTGCTGCACATTAGAGAAATGTTTAGCACGAGCTGTAGGCGAGTGTGGAAAGTTTCTCGAGTGCAGCAAAGGCAGTTTGCACTCGTGTTACACATTATTTTTTCCTACAGTTACTATAAATCATATATATAATTAGTCTTTCTTGTCTTGTAAACACTGTACAACACGTTTTTAAGTTAGGTTAAATCCAAACATTGAACGATGGGAAACGCTGCACCAGCTGATCGTAGTCGTAATATCTTTAAGTGTTCCCAACTTATTTTCAAGCGTACACGGATTAAGTGCATAAAAGCACGCTGTTGTGTTGTTTGGTTGGAATACTGGTGTTCGCCAAAGTAAGGCTTTCTGTTCTGTACTATAATCTGTGCAAGGAAGCCCACTTTATTTATTTTATAGTGCCACACTAGACACTAGACATTTAAATAATGAAAAATAAATTCTCGCAATAGAAAAAATCCCAGACAAGGAAGAGGCAATCAGTGGTATTACTATTATCTGTCAAGATAATAAACTAAGGGTTGCAGGCCAAAGGTTAATTGGTTAATATTGGCTCTTAGTAGCCCAGTGTTCCATTATTGACTACTTAATGACTCATTGCAAGAAATGGTTGGGTGAATGGGCTGATAAGTTTTTAGTGATCCAATGACCCTGTTCTACTTCTCCAGTAATCAATCACATTTGCATTTTTCTATACAAACTATGATCTATAGGAATAGATATTAGATAATACAAATGCAGGAGTATGTTAAGCTATGGAGGTTGGAATAAATATCAAATAAAAATATAGTTCTTTAACCTTGTACACCCAAAAAGTAGAATATTTTCCCAGAAACGTAACAATGTTGTAATGGTTCATAAATTAAATTTTGGAAAACTATAATTTTTTTTCTTTATTTTTGGAGAAAATTTTGGTTAGAACAAGAAAAGTGAAAGAATAGATCAGAGAATAACATGAGAAACAGTCAAGGTTACCAAGTGTTTACTGCAGTAGCTGTGTGCGTGTGTTTACCTGTGTGTGTGTGAGTGTCCGGACTCAAAGTCCTTGTGTTTCTGTGATTATGTGACGTCCATTGTTGTGGTGGCGAGTATCGTGTCAAAGTTGGCACACCTGTTTCCGGTAAGGTGGCATCACTGTAACCTGTTCCGGTTTTTGCGCGACACACTCTAATGCTACTGGAATAAATAGGTGAGGTAAATAAGATGCGTATTAGGAGTTTTGTACACGCAGATCTATAACATTGAACTGTAAAAGGTGGTAAATAAACGGTAAATAAAAAATTATGGACAAAAAAAAGTAGTGTTGGTAAATAAACAGGAGAACCATACACTGCTTCTATTCTGACGATTGAATAAATTCAAATAAACTTAAATTTAGTCCAAATAATTACGCTAGGGCATATTATGAGCATCACGTCAGTAATAGCTCACAAGCAGCTAGATTTTGTGTAGATAAATATATTTGTTTGCATTGGATTTAATTTCAACACAAATTTTATTTTTATACCAGTTTCAGTAGGCTACATTTTACTGAAAGTAAAAATAATGAATTGATTGTCCTCTCCTTTTCTTCGAAGAAGCGTTAAACGTAATGATTACTACAATCAATTTCAAGCCCCTCATAAAGTTGGGTAAACCAAATTTCTGTGAAGTGATGATGTACGGCGTGGCATTGCAATTTGGGCAAAATGCAAGAAATCAGTCTTGACACGGTTATGAAACCCTTCAGCCAGTGGAGCTGCAAGTGACTCAGCTCAGCCCTTGGACATTGGATACGCTCTCTCCTGGAACATTGGAACGGAACTGTGGACTTGGACGTGAGGGAGGACTGCGCAAGTCTGAGGCAACGAATTGGCGGGAACCAGGCAACATATTGGCGGGAACGTAAAAAAACCCAAGTAATTTACTTGTCACTCAAGAATGTTGTAACTTTGTGGAATTGGAATGACGAAAATTCCCAAAAGGTTTGTCAGCATTTGTCTCACCAAACATAAAGTGTTTTCATTCTATTCGTAAATCTGAATCATATGTGTCCGTTAGCACGAAAGTCGAGCAAAAATGATCCGATTTCGATGAAATTTGGTATAAACGTGTAAACCTACATTTATTCGAACGAGTTCGCGAATCAGCATGATCTGACCATGGTAACGGGGGTTTATGGGGGGTTTTATGGGGGTATAGATTTTTTTTTTCATTTTTGACCCTAAAAACAAAAAAAAATTCGATTTCCTTCTAAACCATCATGTCGAGCATAAAAAATAAATAATTTAGTATAGTGAAGCGCTGATTATGCCTAACGGTTACGGAGAAAATTAAAAAAAAATATAATTTCAAATTCCCATGTTATTCTTATGGAGAAAATGAATACTGTTGTAGTTTACTTGTTAATGGATATGTGTTGATAAAATTTGGCAAATTTATTTAATTCATCATATACTATTGACGTATGGTAATGAAAGAAAAAACACTTTTTACCTTCCCCGTAGCAGCTCGTAGAAGCACTCGTTAAATCTAATGTTATTTAAATTTGGATTAAATATGTCTTATTTATGGAAATATTTGAGTAAAAATGTAATAAGACTAGTTGAAATTCGCTTAGTCTGCAGGTTTGCTGCTACTGGGTATTTTTCAATCTACTTAAAACTTTACATATGTAAAAATCCTCATAATTGGTGACGTAATTGGAGCTTAGGTGCCGTGATTTGAGTTGCTGTACGTTTTTGAATACGGGCAGGATGAATAGTTAGCTATAAATATATTAATATATATTAAGAAAAGAATAGGCCCTAAATTACTTTCCTGGACCACCCCATAATCGACAGGCATAGGATCACTGTCTGTACCACAAATTGTAACAAATTGAGCTCTGTTTGAAAGATAACTCTTGAACCATTCCAAAGCACTGCCGCAAACTCCAATTGTTTTTAACTTGTTGAGCAGTTTTAAACGATCTACGGAATCAAATGCTTTTTTGAGGTCAAGAAATATTAATATAGAACGTTTTTTGCTGGAAATGGTATCGTACAACTCTTTGTTTACATCAAAAAGAATATCTGAAATATTTTTGTCGTGACGGAATCCGTACTGACGCTCACTGAGAATGTTATTTAAATGGAGGTAAGCAACCAATTGATCTTTGACAGCCTTTTCAATTATCTTAGTAAAAATACTCAACAATGAGATTAGGCGAACATTGTTGATTTCGTTGGATTTATATAATGGAAAGACTTTAGCCAATTTGTAACAATCAGGAAAAGTTCCTGAAGTTATGCTTAAATTAACAATGTGCAAAAGTGGAAAGCAGAGGATATGAAAATTTGCTTTAAGGACATCGGCCGAAATACCATTGTAACCAGGCGCGGAACCACCCCGCAGGCCGCAGACGTAGCGTTGTAAGTCGTGTGGATGGTCGGTTGAAGCGTAAACGTCGTGTCGAGTTGGTAGTCACAGTCATCAACCAATAGGGCCCCACTTGGGTCTAGTTTACTGGCCAGTGAGCTACCGACGTTAGAGAAAAAAATATTGAAATCATCTGCGACTTGTTTATACAATGTTGTAGATAACTGAGTGTTTGATGTAAGTTTATCTATTGGAAACGAAATCTTTTCTATTTATTCTGCCGGCCAGTTCATTGACCAATCTCCAAAACAGCTTAGGGTTATCAGAGGCTTCGTTTAATTTTTGTCGGTAATAATTTTGTTTAGTTTGCTTCAGTTCTTCACTAAGGTTTTGTTTAAATTCTTTATAAAAATTGATAAGCTCAACATTAAAGGGTTGTTTTTTAACTCTTTTACTTAATTTATCCCTCACTCTTATTTGTTTAATCAGTTCTATGGAAATCCATGGTTTGAGTTTTTTAGCTCTAGTTTATCTATTAATAATGGTTTTAGTAGCAGATTTCACTGAATTAATAACAATTCTATTAAAATAATTAGAACAAAAATGTATGTCATCATCACATTGAACAATGGGGTCCCAGTTGGAGTTAGTGAGGTTATGTGACAGTAGTGTATGGTCCAGGTACGTGTGAGCACAGAAAACGTACTACGTTTTCTGTGGTGTGAGGCACTGTGTCAGTGAGAGAAGTGTTAGTGTGTGGTGTGTTTGAGGAAATAGTGAGACCAGTGCTGTAGTGATCTGTCATAGAGCCGTCTGGATCACAGCTGATTTGACCTGAGAAATGTTTTTGTGTTTAATGCAAATGTGATCCAGACAGCTTGCTGTGTTGTTAGTTACTCGCGTCGGCTTATCAACAGGAAACCCATCCCCAAAAATACATCTAAATATAGTTCTGAAGTTTCATTTATTCGAAGAAGGTCTATATTAATATCACCAAGGAATATACACGTTTGATTTCTATTTAATGCTTTCATGTATCTCTCCAGTTCACCAATGAGATTAATTGGATCACTGTCGAAGGTTCGGTAAATGGCTAGCATAAATGGAAAGGCTTTCCGCAGTGCGTGAAATCCAACGCAAGTCCAAGTTTAAGCAGTCTTGAAAGTGTCTCTTTACGTTTTCTTAAAACTGGTTTTAAGAGGTTTGTGGTTTCCTTCGCCTTACTGGGAAAGTATTAAGCAAAGCAAGGTACAATACGAGAATGGACTTTACTGATGCATTTCAAGTGCGGCAAACTCAAGACATCGCTGCCTTCACAGTCGGTCGCGCTACCGAGCCACTGAATCAGCAAACTCGACTTTTGTTTGTTATGTTATTAACTATTTATCGTCCGTCATATGGTAATGCGAAAAGTAATGGTTCTCAGGGCTTTCTTCGCATTTCTAATTGACAATGAAAAGCTTTCACTGTTTCTATTATGTCGAGCAGCCAATGGAAAATTTGTCTCCGATTTCTCTGTTGCAATGCCAATTTACTGAAGCGAAACATCAAGATTCAAATTACATCTGTGATAGTTTGTAGAAAGTAAGTGAATGGGGGTTTCTGCAATACAGAAGGTAGAAGTCAACGTTAGTTTTTAAAAATATTTTAATTTGTTTTTGTGTTTAGTTTGAAAACCAATAAACAGAAGAATTTGATTGTATTGTAATTGTATTAGATCTATTGTCTAATAATACAAACTCAACATTTCAAGTTAAAATAATATGTAATAAAAATTGTATCTCTATATTTTTATCTAACCAAATAGAGGATATTATAAATTTAGTCTTCGAGTAAAAGGCAGTAAATAAACGCTGTTCGCCACTGACGAGCACGAGAAAAACAAAATAGCTTTTTACAAAGCATTCAGTTTTAAGATCGCCTCCCTAATTAAAATTAAATTATTTATTATTTAGACCTAATAGGTTTTTGCGTTTCACAATAAATTATTTCTCATTTAAATTATTAGTTTAAGCTGTATTTTTAACTTCTTATCTTTTAAAAATATGATAACTCGGGATTATATATTTATTAAACTGTACATAGATTATTCCAGAAGTAAAAATTCTGAAAAATAAACTAGGTACAGTATTAAAGTAAACAATTCTTTTTTTCAAATGTATTTTTGGGAACATTGTATTTAAAATATGAAAAGTGTGTTTTACTAAATACTAAAGCAAGCCCCGTGGTCGAAAATTCGACAAAAAGTATTTATTGTGTAACATCTCTAGGCCTGTAAATAAAACATGTGTTTGGAATTTCCTTAATTTGTTTTGATTTTCTGTTAATCGCCTATTATTTCATTGCTATATCGGCACCAGCATGGCAACCCATAAGGCCCATGTAAATTTTTAGGATTTTAGGATTTGTATATTCAATTTTATATTATATAGAGGTCATCCAGTGGGCGAAAACTCGACCAAAAATAATGTAATGTTACAGACTTCTCTATTTTCACCCACACTGTAAATGAAACATGTAATGATTGTGTAGCAGTCTTCCATTTGTTTTGATTTTCTGTTTAAATATCGTTGTTATTTCGTCACCAGCATGGTAACCCATTAGGTCCAAGTAATTTTTAAAATTTGAAATTAATTTGTTGTGCTTATTTTTGAGCCTATTTTAATTTATAAAGATATTCTGCACATCTAGGCAAATATCTCTCTAACAGTATGCGTAGATTTTTATGGAGAATGTTGTAAAATGTTCTAGTTTGCTTGTTTATGATTATATTTTGATTAAACTTGGCAAATTTATTGATTTTATACTTTACTATAATTATTTTACTTAAAACACATTTTATTAGTTTCCCTGTAGCAGCAAACCTAGGTACTCGTTAATTCGAATGTTATTTAAATAGATTAATTGAAAATCATGCCAGGCAAATGGAAATTAGCTTAGACGGCAGGTTTGCTGCGGCGGGGGCATTTTAATAGATAAGATATGTCTCTCACCTGATCTAACGAAGAGTACAAGCAGAGCGACAGAAGACAACAGGAAAGCTCGCAAGTAAGCCATGGTAAGTCACTGTCTCACTCAACTAACTGACTAACTCACTGGAGTCGAGAATGATAGTCAGTACACCATGGTAGGGGGAGGTGGGGGGGGGGGGGTAAGTGAAGTACAACAATGGTCCCCCCTCCCTTCCCCACAACAGCTGCGTCACTCGCAAAGCATTGTTGCGAAACTTGTTTATATCAGACCTGAAACATTGATTTTCACGACTTTTTGCTTGTTAATAACTGGTATCATGGAACGTCGCGTTATTTTTTATTGTTCATAAGTAAAAAATATGATAATAGAGATATGGTACTATTTTGTATGGCTTTTTGTGGACTTGTATGGTGATTTTAACCATGCCTTGCAACAGGTGACAAAGCTAATCTGTTTGACTGGTTGGTTGTTAATTAAATATTACAAGACAAATTAATCTAAATTACAGATATTACTAAAAATGTTGATTCTTTCAATATATATGTTGGATGCCTGCTCCATCTTCGAATTCTCGAGCAGATCTCCATTTTTTCGAGATCTTCTCAGACACATGCTTGTTGCCTTTAAAATTGAGCAAGTCAGTATCGTTCTTATCCAATTAACTACTAGGCTGTACGGCTTAACCCATTTTTCTGACAATTTTTCAGCTAATGCTCTTATTAGTGTTTGAAAATCATTGCCTAGGATTCCGCAGACTGATGTTATCAAAGGGGTGAAAGAGGCATTATGGCTCTCACAGGCTGACATATACTTTCTTTTCTTTTCTTCTTCTGCTTTATTTATGACATTGTCATGAGTTTGGTTGCTTGTTAATTACTTATCAGGGAACTTATCCTAGTATCACAATACCTATTGAATATAGAAACACAATTAATTGTATTGCAGTGTTTAGCCCGGTTTTAATAGTATAGCGTTTTGTCTAAGTTACTTATTGAATAGTCTTGTTTATTTGTTACTTGAAACCTGTTTTATACACATTTTTTGGACCGGTGGTTTTAGAAATGAAATAAAAATAATAACAATCTAAATTTATTATTCTAAGTAGATGCTGCCCTCACAGAAGAATTATTTGACGTAATGTACAAATTAAATTAATACAACTAATACAGTAACATTTTTCGATTTGCTAAGTGATTTTGATTACATTTTGCGCAAATAAAATAGTCTTGTTTTTAAACTCATTTCGTAAATATTATAAAAATAGCGCTTATCCATTAGGACTATATACGTAATTGCAAAATACTGTGTTAATTAATATCTTTCCTAAGTTACATAGAGGATTAAAACACAACAAAGAGGAAAGTAGTTTGATTGTTAAAACTTGACTGTAAGCCACCTTAACATGAAAATGTACTTTTCAGACAAGGCTCTATCTTGAAATTACAAGTGACTCATTCGATCGTCTCATTCCGGTACTTTCAATGGATCTACAGAACTAAATTACATTTTCAACCATTATTGTTCTATAATCGTAAATACGTTTTAATTGTTTTTTCAATGGACTGTTATCCTACAAAACCTGTAATAACCACAATTCTCAGCTTTCAAAAGTAGTTTATTACTATCAGTAATAAATTATATATGGAGCAAGCTTTTGGAGATTAACCTATAAAAAAGCTTCGTAAAGCAAGTAAGCTATAAACAAAAACAGTTGATTATCTGTAACAACTGACCGAAAAGTTGTTAATGTCGAATAGCTCGATCGATTTTGCCTAACAGTTTTTGTTGTTATTAAATCCTGCTTATACACACTCTGTGATGTTGTGTTTAATTTAGATTTTTTTTAAATCAAAACTCAAGAATCGGACTCGAGCACTTGACACAAACTTCGCATTTCACAGTTGGAAAATACTTGTCAAAATGACTATTCATACACACATCAGGTATACCAGGATTGCAAAAAAATAATGACAATGGCTCTCAAAACATGTATATTAGCACAAAGCTACAAGGTGACCAATGAAATTATATTTTGAATTCGGTGATAGAAGTCCCACCACTACCAATATCTAACTTTCCAGGTCCCAGATTCACCTGGGCTCGTGCACCTCCCAAAGCACCTCTTCCGTAACGCACGTCACCATAATCGCCCATTGTCGACCGTTTTTGTGCAGGAGAAATTAGAACAGTTAAGTTGGTCACTCGAGTGACTTCATGCAGCTAGGGGCCCCAATAATGCTAGTTATTAAATGGCATATCTCCCAATCACGTACATAGGAATTAGGAATGTACGTTTTTCTTGTAATGTAGTCCTCGACAATTTTTAAAACAAGTTTAAAAAATGGACATAATTGTTTAGTGAATTCATCTGGTCATTATCATAGCCTAAACTTGGTTATAGTTACTACTTGATAAATATTGAATTGTGTTGTTTTAAAATGCATACATTAATTTAATTACACTAAACAACATTTTTTTAATCAGTGACAACATTGGACTTTATTCAACAAATCAAACTATTTTGAGAAGACTATTTTTAAATTTTACTGATAAATTGGCTCTTTACAGTCAAAAGTTTGAAGTCTACTTATTGTAACAAGTACTCATCCATTTTTTAAGTGGCCCTATGCGACGTAATTATCTATCACGTTGTACAACATCTTAAAATGTAAAGTGTTATTTTACATTTTAAGAATTGCATTGATTTCCCCTGAATATTTGAAAAGATTTTTCCAGAAGAAGGGAAATCACAAAAGAGGATAACTTATTCATAATACCAGATGGAAATGTATAAATGTATAATGGATAAGAAGAAATGAGCAAGGCCCGTAACTTTTGATGTCCCTCAAGAATCACTACTTGGTACTATTTTCTTTGTTGCTATTGATTATGTAATCTATATATAAATAGGCAAGCATGTTTCTTTAAAACCTTTTTTCTCACTTCGTGTGCATCGCAGGTAAAATCTACGCATACTGTTAGAAAGATATTTACCTGTAGATGTGCAGAATCCTTTTATACATTAAAATAGGCTAAAAAAAGCACAACAAATAAATGAATTAAAATTTAAAAAAATACATGGGCCTAATGGGTTACCATGCTGGTGTCGAAATAACAACAATAATTAAACAGCAACTCAAAACAAATGGAAGACTGCTACACAATCATCACATGTTTGATTTACATCTGGGGTGAAAATAGAGAAGTCTGTACATTACGTTATTTTTGGTCGAGTTTTCGACCACTGAATGACCTCTATATAATATATACTAATTTAAAATTAATTTCGACGAGTTGACACCTTTGCTAGTCCCAATAAATTAGAGATCTACTTAGCGACAAGTGACATGGTTTTTGTAATTAACAGCGATTATCTGAGGAAGGAGCGGAAAGTCCTTGGGTTTACCGTCCTGCGTACTGCGTCCTGGCGCGCTCCACTGGACCGACACAGACGTTCTTGTCTCTTTAGATCCGTCCTAAAAGGAAACTAATTACATTCTTGGTGAGTAAACACATTTTAATAACTATTCAATGGAACGAATATACAATATTCAAACGAAAACTGTTAGTATATTGGTTCCTAAACTACGCTGTGTAAAATGTGGCAGAGTTTAAGCGAAGATAAAACAACAAACGAGAACGTCGAGAACCACATAATGAGACGACTACAATATAAAAATATAACCAAATGATGGAAATATCCTACCACTAATATAAATGAGAAAGTTTGGATGTATGGATGTATACGTATGTTTGTGGCAAGTAAACGCGAAAAATACTGGTCGGATTGGGCTGAAATTTAATGTGATGATAGCTCACATTCCCAATTAACATATAGACGCACTCTTATCGCAAAAGTCCTTTCGGGCTCCGCCCCAGTGGCTCTAGAGTTTCCCATGTTGACCTTATGAGTAATCACATTTAAAAGGAGTAAAATAGTTTCGTCAGCTGTTTCAAATACACAAGTTGGTTTCTATGGTATTAAATAGCATTAATAAGTTATAAGGTTTACTAACAGGGTGTAACTATTTTATACAACAAATGTAAAGACCTCTTCCCGTTGCAAAGCACAGGTACAACAGCTAGTACTTAATATGGCGAGTTTTCCACACTAACTTTCACCTCAATAGGGGTATATATCTATTATACACTGAGACGAATTTACATTTCAAATGAATGATATTGATCATACTTTTCAGCCCAAAGATTATAGTGTCCACCTTCTCATAACACCTTAAGGTGGGTCAATTCTGTACATAGACAGCATGTTGTCACTAGGTTATAATTTATAAATGTTTATCAGGCATTTCGATTATATCTTGTCCTTTTAGGTTCCATTCCATCGGATGCAGCTTCAGATCCAAAACTACGTGAAACTTGTGTTATGCTAATTAGTAATGGACAGTTTCTTCAGGAAACCTTATAAGAATAATATCCGGGCAGGAGGGTAAAACTGTTTTTTTTTTGTAAAATGTTAATAGTTAGTAAGAAATAAAAACATTTTCCAAATTTGATCAAAATATGTTCATAAACAAGCAAACTACAACAGTTTACTTATTCTCCATAATAATAACATAAAAATTTTGTATTTACAATTTTTTTTATTTTTTTTTTATTTTTTTTTTAATTTTCTCCGTAACCATTAGGCGCATAATAACGCTTCAATATACTAAATTATTTGTTTTTTAAGCTCTACAAAATGGTTCGGGAATAAATTGTTAAATTTTATGTTTTTTGGGTCAAAAATTGGAAAACCCTATTTTTACACCATAAAACCCCCGTAAACCCCCGTTCCTATAGTCCGATGCTGGTTCGCGAACTCGTTCGAGTAAATGTAGGTTTACACGTTTATACGAAATCTCATTCAAATCGGATCATGTTTGCTCGAGTTATCGTGCTAACGGACACACATATTTATAAATATATATATGAATTTGAACGGATGGTATTTTTAGCCTCTAGGGACCTCAAAACGAAAACAAATCGGTCCCGCGTCCAGGTCTTACCATGAATTCTATGGTAATAGCTTATTCCCTATATGGGAAATTCGCTAAAAGAGATCGATGTTAACAATTTAAAAGATGAAAAATACAAAACATCGTGTCACCAATGGACATCTTTAATAGGTTTTAAAAATCAGGCTTA